GAGACCTCTGAAGAAGAGGCTGATGAGTAGTTCCAATTAATTTCGTACGATGTGGCTTAACTTACTTACACAAATGGCCGGAGGGTATTTGGAAGTGGCCCGCTCGCTATGATGGCCCACTCGCTATGCATGTACGTTAAGCATTTTTCACACAACAAATCCGACGTCACTCAAGACACGAATTTTCGAGAAACCTTTGTCATCATGTCGTATGCATTAGACTCACCAATTGAACATCGTCGTAGCGACATCTTGCAGCAGAAGGGCAAAAATGAGGAACGTACGTAGGTTAGACCACATGCGGAGGTAGTCTTTTCGAGCATAGAGCTTCTCCGGACTTAACTAGCTGACTTATGCTATCGTATACGGATAAGGATAGACTAATTTCATAGTTCCTAGCAAATCAGACATTGATATATTAAGCGGTATCAAACCCGGATAAGAGCCTACATGACTGATATCCACCAACGCTGCCTGCTCAATGATCGGACCTTCGTTGTCGAACAACGGAATGAGTTCAAATAGCACAACCATGAAGTTACTCGCGCCTTTTAAAATGAGACCCGGAATATCAAGGCCTCCAGCACAGAGGGTGATTTAAAGTAGTCAAAGTTGTTGCTTTACAACTTTTAGATTTGACCAAGCAAACCTACCACAACCATTGCTCTTTCAGCTACCTAGTGTTCGGGATGCGTTGAGTGAACTCGATCAATTGTCTCTACCGCTCCCAAATGCTTTGGTCTCTAAGTCTATGAATGCAAGGGCAGATTGATTGACTCGTCCTCTGAGCAGAATACCTGTATGCAACGCCAACCCTGCCCTTCAACACCACGTCCAAACAAGGTTATTTCTTCTACAGCTTGGTTCGTATCGAAATGTACAGAACTTCTGCCTTGGCCAGAACTTCTCCGTTCTGATCTTCTATCTGCGCACTGACGAAGTTCTTCCGCCCCTCGATCTTGGAGATCTTGGACCTGACAAGAATCGTGCCCGGCGCAGGGACCGGCCTGAGAAACGTCGTGTTCAGATACGCCGTCCGGAAGTCCTTGTTGGGTTCCGCGCCTTCGGGTCTCTGTGCTACAATCGTCATGCCCGTGACTTCGTCCAGAATCAACGCAACGGCGCCCCCATGAGCCGCCTCGGGAAAGCCGATCATGCCATCTTTCAGGGTAATGAGCGAAAACAACTCGTCGACTTTCCAATCTGGCGGTTGTGGCCGCGGGTGCAAAACAAGCCAGGCGGTGATGGTGTTTGGTGTGTTGAGAGTCCCACCGACATATGAGTTCTCTTTTGTTGGCAAGATTGTCCTATTTGCCGACACTTGGACAACGTGGGAGGGCGAGTCGAACTTGGAGAGGACTTTTGCGCACCATGGAATGGATGCGAAGTGTTGGTACTCCGGATGCGACTTGACGGCTTCGGATGTCATGGCGAAAGGGAGGGCATTGAGTGCGATCGTCAGTCAACCGTAGTACATGCGGTGAACAAAATTTCGAATGATAGCCTAGGTGAGGGGTTGCTTGGATGGAGTTGCCTCGGTTTCGTTATGCGGGGTTCTGGCTAGTTCCGAGGCTGGCGTGGACAGGGGGAGCTGCCTGTTCAACTGTCAACCACGTACCACAATGCGTAGGCGATCTCGAGGCGTATTTTAGACTTTGCCCTTGGAACCTTCAGCTCGAGATTGGACAACTCTCAAACGAATATCTTTGTCACATTTTGAAGAGCATATCGGACGACACGTGGATGTTTGGGTTCGAGTTGCCCACGTCTTCGGAAGGCCAAGGCCTAGACAGCCGTCAACTAATGACTCGCAATTCCTCATAGAACCACTGTCGACGGCTAGGGAAGCCGAGCGTCCAGACTGGCAACTAATTCATCACCGTGAGAGGGAAAAAATGATTCAGGGCTACATAAACTCTCTTTAAGCTTGTTCGACGCAGACCTTCCACGCGCCTAGAGTTTTGCGCCTAGGCCTGAAGTCCGTTTGTGCTCTTCCCGCCATGCAAGATCGCTCAGGATCTCCTCGCTTCCCCCGCCAATGACTTTCAGACGCAGGTCGCGTGAAATTTGCTCAGTCATTGTCACGCCTTTTTCGAAACCCATTCCGCCGTGTATCTGCTGGCTTTCCCTGACGGCCTGTTCAACCATTCTGCCGCCCTGGATCTTGGCAAGCGCGATTCTGCTGGCGACGTCCTTGGTCTGCCAGCCGTGGATCTTTACGTGGTATGCTATCTGCTCCAACCAAGCCCAATGCCCTTCAACCTCACGCGCTATGGTGGTGAGCTTATGGCGGATAATTTGATGGGAGGCAAGCGGCTTTCCGAATGTCTCGCGATCGTGCGCATGCTGCAGCGCTTCCGAGAGACAAATTCGGGCTTGCCTATTGCAGTCCACTGTCAAAATGAAGCGCTCTTTGTTGAAGTTGCGCATGATGATGGGGAAGGCGCCGTTCTCTTTCCCCAGTAAGTGATCGACCGGGACTTTCACGTTCTCCAGAATGACCCACGATGAGCCGCCCGCGTTGTGACCGGAGTTGTGGATCTTCCTGATTGTGATGTCTGGCGAATTCAGAGGTACCACGAGAAGTGAAATGCCACTTCGACCAGGCTCACACATCCGTACAGCGGTAGTCATATGAGTCGCCCACGGCGCGCCGGTAACCCATTTCTTACGCCCGTTGACAACGTAAAATCTCCCATCGGCAGTCTTCTCAGCAGTGGCTCGTATCGCGCTCACATCACTGCCGGCCGTCGGCTCCGTGATGGCAAGACAGAAACTCGTCTCCCATGTGAAAAGCCCCGGCAGCCACCGTCTCTTCTGCTCTTCGGTCCCCGCCGTCCAGATAGGCGGGGCACCCACATTCGACGCCCCCGCCAGCGCGAGGGGCACCCCGCTGGGGATGCGGGCCATCTCGTCCATCAGGATGAGCTCGTGAAAGACGTCGAGCTCGTCGAATGGGATCCCCGCGATTGTCATGAGCTCCCTCGGCCGGTACTCCCTGGGCACGTCCAGGAAAGCAAGACCGGACTTGGCGAATTGCAGTCTGGCGGCCAAGGGGCACTCGCCGGCGGCCTCCCACTCCTGTGCGTATGGTAGCAGGTGGGTGTCGACAAAATCCCGCACGTATGCTTGGAACCTCCGGTGAGAGTCATTATAGTATGGGCTTTCAAGAGCGTTGAACCACGCCGGCTCGCCCCATCTATCTCGGGCTTGGATGTCAGCTTGGGAACGGAGGTAGAAAAGGGGGGAGGTTCGGGGCAGTACGGAGCGAGGGTACCAACCGCCGTGCGTCCCTTGTTTGGGAGCACTGGCTTCGGTGACCCGGTATGGTTGGCGGACATGCTGCGACGTTGCTGTGCTCGGTTTTACGAGATGGTGTTAGATGCTACTGGATAGACGTGCGATCCACGGGAGGCGAAGGTGGCTAGGGGGGCATGAACGGTCTGATACTCGGATTCTCTGCTATCGGGATCACTTTGAAGAAATATGCAGGCGGGAAACGCCGCAGTAAAGCTGGCTGCCAAAGCGTTGCGAGATTACTACACAGTAGAGTTTGTGGCCGCAGCAGCACCTTCATGTGAAGTCTGTATCAGAGTCGATGCGCCTTCAATGCGAGGGAGCGCAGGGTCCACGCGAGTCAAGTGCGTATCCACGATGGGCCCAATTTGGATATCTCCGCAATTGAATGACTACCGGCCGGTTCGTCCGGGGCTGGGAGCGACAGGGGATCTCCTCCGCGTCAAAGAGACAACCAGCGGGGTCCTGATATGTCCCGGGCTACGATATCCGTTTGGACCTGGGCGCCTGTCGCGCGTGGGTTTACGACCAATGCACCAGACTGAATAGTGTCAAGAGCGTCCCACCGGCTCTTGGCGAGAACGAAAGCTTATTTCATTGACATTCCCAAGCAAGAGGATGCCAAGACCGTTTAACGTGCTCATAATTCGTGTAATATTGCGACCAATCAAACAAAACGTTATGGCTGGCTAAAGACGTCTGATCACGCAATACTCTAAACTCTAGGTATCGTGGTGTGGGAGGCCCGTGAAGGTTACACTGTAGTTGACCTAAGGTCAAGCACCTCGGCGATCTTTCCACTCCTAGGATTGACAGCGAGTTCCTGCATGGTGACAAAGTTTACCTGCAGCTCGTTGACTAAATCCTTCTCGACGTGTTCCCGAAACATCGGCCGCACCACCCCGAGCTCTCCTCTCAGCCCTGCCTGCAACTGCGAACTCTCCTCGTCTGTGGTCGGCTTGTACGCGACGTTCAAAGTGAGAAGGTCCTTCCTGTCTTCGCGCGTGACGACGGCTTGGATCTTGCCCACCGGTCTGTCTTTGAGAACCGTCGAGACGATGCGTCTCAGGTCCACAAAGTCGATGGAGACGGGGCCGAGGCGGATGGCCGTGCGGTCCCTGTCAAGGACGCGGAAAAGACCAAGCGCTGGATCAACCCACGCGGCTCGATCGCCGGACGGGTAGCGGATAATGGGCATCAGACGGCGCTCCACGTTCGTGACGACCAAGCTGCCCGCCTCGCCGGGGGTCGTCGTGACCTCGCCGTCGTCGTTGACGATCTCCACGATGATGTTGGGGCTGTTGACTTGGTGAAGACGAGGGTCGTTGTTGTAGTCCTCGGGCTTTGGCGGTAGACCAATGATTCCGCAGTCCATGGAGCCGTAAACGACGGATCGGATGGTTGCGTTGGGGAAGGCTGCCTTTAGAAGTCCCGCTTGGTCGTCGTAAAACGCCTCGCCGGAGAACAAGAGCAGCCGCACAGAAGGGTGCGTCTTCCCAGCTTCGAGGATGCGCTCTGCTAGCTGCGACATTGTTGTGACTGTGGCTAGAACGACTGTGGCCTCAAACTCAACGATGTGTCTCTCCATTGATGGGATACCGACATGTCCAGCGACTGGGAGCTGAATGGCGCCACACGGTAGGTGATACACCGACAGGATGTGAAGCAAGAAACTGCCGTAGAGGTCGCCGGCGTAGAACAAGTTGGCGACCATGTCCCCTGCGCGAACACCACATCGCGCCAGCGACTCTGCCAACTGCCTTGAAAGACCATGAAATTCTTTTTGGTCATAAAATGAGACTTTGGGGTGATTGGTTGTGCCTAAGATCAGTGAGCCGGGGCTTCATTTGTCTCGGGCACTCAAGAACTACCCACCTCCAGTCTTGAAGATGACACCATCTTTCTGCTTTGAAGTTATGACTTGGCTATTGAGACAAGTATTGGATTCCCAAAAAGACTCATGATCAACTGTAGGCAAGTCTCTGAGTGAGACTGTTGCCTCTTTCTGGACTCCCCTAGACTCCCAAAATTTGGCATAGTATGATGAGTTCAACCTCACGAACTCAAGGAGTTCCGTGAGGTCTCTGTTGCCGGCGCCGTTAACTTTGGGAACTGTCATGTTGGTCTGTAGGCGCGTTGAGTCGAGTTACTTGGTTCCAGGGTTGTTGCGAAGTCGACATTCAGATTCAACTGATAAATCACCAAAAACGACTCTGGTCCATGACAGCGGAAATGAGACAGGTGGTCAAGGTTCACTCCCTAATTATCAGATGGACGACCGTACCCGGCCTTTGTCGGAGGCTGAGTGTTGCCCCGGCGTCCGTCATCATTCATGGATATCCTCAGTTGTGTCCTGCGTTACGACAGATAGAGTTCAGAGGTGCAGGGACTTGTGACTATTGTCAAAGAGGATCAACTCGCAAAATGGACTGATTTACGAAGAGGACGGAAGTCGGCGAGGAGATGGAAAGACACAGTAGGTTTGCCCTAGAAGCCTGTCTCTCGCAGCCTCATTTCTAGAAACCCACAAAGAAGCCGTTTAAGCTTTTTTGATTGCGCCGGATCAATAGTGCTGGAATCTCTCAGCGACCGTGCGCCTACATTCCCGTGCGCCCTACCCTTGCGCCTGGGCTTGATGGTGATGGGCAACTTGGGATAGGCAACGGCGTGGGCGCAGCTGGAGACGCCACGAAAGGGAGAGTTTGCGCAGATATATGAAACCGAGGAGCCCATGCTTGTGGTGTCTCTGTCTGAACCTTTCTATCCGTACCCGAGTTTCCCCCCTCTTACCCGATCTTCCCCGAGTGGGTCGCGACGTTATCGCACGGTCCCTTGTTTTGAGAACACTTGGGGACACGCGGTTCGGTTTGGGGTCTTGGGGCGGTTGGAGAAGATGGAGAGAGAGTCGCAAGAATTGGCCAATGAAGTCTGCCCAAAAGAAACCCTCTGTCAACAGCAGAAGGAGGGGTTCTCAGGGTCCTGTGGCCACCACCCACCCCCGTTGGAAGAGACGTTTAAACGAGGTTCAAGCTCAAACACAGAGTGGGGGTCAATCTTCCCGTACGAAGTCGCAGAGAGCCAGGGGTAAAAGTGTTGGGGTTGAGGGTGCCTTCTTTGTGGGTTTTCCAAGCCTCTTGCAATTCGCACGTGGAGCCGAACCCTGGCATATCTTCTCCCGCTAGGCCTGATTGCGTTTAGTCCTGTTTAACCGAGGAAGCCTCTTCTTGGATATGCATGGATCGAAAGATTCAAAACAGCACGACAGATCCGCGGGTCTCAACAGAGTGAGAAAGCGTTGCTCACCGCCTGCGAAAGGCGGGCAAGTGTGGGTTGCCTCTCTCTTTCTCTCTATCTTTGCGATATACGGTGTGTGCATGTTGCAGTGTCGCAGTCAGTTTTGGATCCTCAGGGACAACGCATCAAGAGACAAACGGAACGGGCAGGCGGTCGCCGCGCCACCACGCGGCTCTGAGCTCTTCAGCGTTTCTCCTGAGTAATTCGAGCAGAGGACAAAGAAGAGGTGGCTTGAACTGAACCAATTTGAGTCATGAAGTGCACTGCGGAAGACGTCTGGCCCGAGGCTCTGCGAGGCTATCGGCCGGCGGCCACAAGGTTGGTCCTGGCCGCGAGTCACGTCTTTGGCTGACATTCGCGCGATTCCAAACACTTGCCATTGGCACACTGACCATCGTAATTTTTTTTCTGCCGGCCCATGGCAATGCATGTGGGCAACAAAGTCCAGACTGTTTGGACCCCTATTCAGCAGATCGTCCACGTCCCTGACCATGGAACCGACGTTGACCCACTGCCGTCTAGGTTGGCGCTGGGTCCCTTAACGAAAAAAGAACAAGGAGAAGACACGTCGTTGCATGTGCCGTGGCGGTGACAGCCAAGTCCCTTACGCAGTAGTTTTTTTTTCTCCATCCCCCCCTTCCGCAAAAGCGATAATCGCACCTACCCATTTTACCTCGGGCAAGCGAGAATTTTCACCTTCTTTCCGTCTTCCCCCAGCTTCATCTGGTGCCTTTGCTCCGTCGACATTCACTTTCTTCCTCAGCCTTGAACCTGAGGAGACTTCTGTTCATCTCATATACGCCAGCCTATAGACAGAAGCATCTCAAACATCCCAGGTTGCACCTGTCACACACAATGGCGGCTCGTCAACGTACCACGACCGCGGTGGTCGAGAAGCCCCAGCAGGTTAGTCGGGAGCCTCTTTCCAGATCGCGATCTCGATCGATGAACCAAACTGACCCTCATTCCAGAAGACCTCTGAGCCTGAGTACCCTGATATCCAGACCATCAGGGACACCATTCCCGCTCACTGCTTTGAGCCTTCGCTGTGGACATCCTTCTACTATGTCTTCCGTGACTACTCCATGGTGGCCGCCCTCGTCTGGGCTGCTCTCACCTACATCCCCGCCATCCAGGACCCCATCGTCCGCGGTGCCGCCTGGATGATTTACGGCTTCGTCCAGGGTCTCGTTTGCACCGGTGTCTGGATTTTGGGTCACGAGTGCGGCCATGGTGCCTTTTCCAAGAACCAAAAGCTGAACGACGTGGTCGGCTGGGTACTCCACTCCTCCCTCATGGTCCCTTACTTCTCTTGGAAGTTCTCTCACCACCGTCACCACCGCTTCACCGGTCACATGCAAAAGGACATGGCCTTTGTCCCCGCCACTCAGCCCAAGGCCTCCAAGAAGCCCCTGTTCGGTGCCATCGACCTCCACGAGCTCTTCGAGGACACCCCCATCCTCCAGCTCATGAACCTCCTTGGCCACCAGCTGTTCGGATGGCAGATGTACCTCTTCTTCAACGCCACCGCCGGCAAGGGCAGCAAGCAGCGCGAGGTCAGCGCTCTTGGACGCTGGATCAACGTCAGCCACTTCGACCCCTTCAGCGCCGTCTTCCGTCCCAATGAGGCTATCTTCATTGCCATTTCCGACCTTGGCCTGGCCATCACCCTCTCCATCCTTTACAAGGCCGCCCAGATCCTGGACGTCTCCACTGTTCTCCTCCTCTACGCCGTCCCGTACTTCTGGGTCCACCACTGGCTCGGTATGCACTAACCCCTTCCTCCTACTCCTCACCCTGGAACTCATTAGAGTTTTCGAGCGTTTTCGCGTTTGATAGAGTGCTAATCGATACCCCTCAGTTGCCATCACCTACCTCCACCACAACCACCCTGACGTCTACCACTACAACGAGGACGGCTGGACTTTCGTCAAGGGTGCCCTGGCCACCATTGACCGCGACTTCGGATTCGTTGGCAAGCACCTCTTCCACGGTATCATCGAGAAGCACGTCGTTCACCACCTCTTCCCGTAAGATCATTGGCCCCTCACTTGAAACATCGATAAGATCTCATTGCTAATATCGCTCAGTCGCATTCCCTTCTACAAGGCCGATGAGGCCACTGAGGCCATCAAGCCCCTCCTCGGCGACCTGTACCACTCCGATGAGCGCAGCTTCCTGGGCCAGCTTTGGTCTGTCTTCGGCACTCTCAAGTATGTCGAGAACGACCCGACCTGCCCTGGCCGCATGAGATGGGCCAAATAGAGAGTTGCCACAAACAACTCATAAAAACTCCCTCCTTTTGATTTTAGACGCAAATAGACGAAGTGATAGACATAGACTTTTTTTTGGTTCAACTCCGCAAGAGTTAGAGTTCGCTAGAGAGTGGCAAGCATTAGAATTAGTTGCGGAGACAAAGAAAATCTAGACAAAATGGCTGGCCAAGGCTGGAATTTCACTTGAAACCATGGCTCAACTGTGAACACGCAAATTGTCGGCGACTATCTGAGAAGTTGTTGCAAGCCGAGCCCGACGGTCGTTATTCAAGTTACGTACGCTGCGCCGCGCCGCAGGCCTTCTGTCAATAACGTGCTTTTGTTGCCGTTTTGGGAAACTGCCTAGACCAGAGCACGATGAGCGATTGTACGGGCTCCCGTACGCAAAACATGGGTCTCTCCGATCTTGAACAAAGTTTACAGCCAATACGTGAGATTTCAGAAGTCGAATGCAACATATCCCCCATGTTGTCTCTTCTTCGCATGGCACGCAGGCGCTTAGTCAAGGGAAGCCCAGTCATGTCAACCCGAATCTGGACCTCCCGATTCGCGCCAGCTCCTCGGGCTGGGGCTTGGAGATGCACACCACCGTACATCCTCCCAGGATTCCAGGAAGCATGGGGCAGCTACCCCGTCGTCCGACTTAATTTAATAGAGTTCACACGGGTTGAAACAGCGCATCACAACAGCCTCACATAGGTGCGAATACTGGATAGGGCCTGAGTCGTGCAAATCGCATCAGCTTCGAGACCCAGGGCCACGGCCGTACGCTCCGGCCTGGGTTGGCTTGTAGAGGCACGCAAGACGGTTTTGGAAGCAGTCCGGCGGGAGGAAAGTAATGAGTGTTCATCCTATATTGGCAATACCGAGTGGAAGGTCCGGCTGGACTATGCCATGAGTGATCGTCTGTCTGCTCTGGTACAAGTAATAGTGTCAGTGTCTCTCACATTGATCACTCGTTCTCGCTTGGTCCAGTACTTCAAAACCCATCATCCCATATTGTCAGTCGTTCACTTCATTGAGATTGAAAAGCATTGACTTGGACATCATCTGTCTAAGTCTCAGACAACATGGCCTCGGCTTACATGATCGCGATATACTTCGCGGTAGTCATCTTTGCCGGTATTCAGATCAAGCATAAGATCAACAACTACAAGTCCCCTCTTAGAAAGGTCCCGGGTCCATGGTATGCCCCTTTGACCAACCTTCACCTCCAATATCTCTTCTCTACTGGAAACATTTGGAAGTTGGTGCAAACAAGTCACAAGAAGTATGGAGGCATTGTGCGTCTTGGACCTCGTCAGGTCTGGATCTCAGACAAGGAGGCCATGAAGACGATTCTGGTCAAGACCGATCTTCCCAAGGTTGCCATGTACGCTGAGATTTCTCGCGACAAGTTCAGCCCTGGTCTTTTTGGTGAAATGTAAGTGTTTACGCGATCCTACGATAGCATGGTCTAAGACTAAGTCCTATTTCTACAGCCGCCCCGAGCCGCACAAGCGCCTTAAGCGTTTCTTGTCACCCGCCTTCACGGTCAACTACATCGACAATCTCGAGATGTTCTTCAAGACGACTGTTCGTGATCTGCTCAACAAGTACCAAACGCAGATCAACGCCGACCCCGTCTACTATGCCAAGAAGGGCATCGAAGTTGACTTGATGGACGATCTTCACAATGTTGCTCTTGACATGTAGGTTAAAGACGGCATTATTTGCCCAAGCTTCACTGCTAATGTAAACCAGTATGGGAGAATGTTCCTTCGGAAAGGGCTTTGGCCAGACCAACCCAGACAGCATGATCGAAGACGGTGTCGACGAGAGAATCTGGATGTCCATTCCCCGCTCCATTTTCGATGGTCTTAGCAAGAGATACCAGGTAAGACCTACAAGTACAAGTCTTCTAAGCGATCATCTTTATCTGACTTGAATTGCAGACCGTCTACGTCAAGAAGTTCTTCCGTTCGTTCGGCATTGATATCCAGTTCGACTGGCCCGCCGAGATGATTACCGCTATCGACGCCGTTGTCCAACGCCGCAAACGCACACACGATATCGAACGCCGCGATCTTCTCCAGCACCTGATCGAGGAAGGAAAGAAGCCAGACACCGGTACGACCATGAACGCCCGTGACATCGTCGACCAGATGGCAGAAATTCTCCTCGCCGGCTCCGAGACTACATCCGGCACTATCGGTTGCCTCTTCCTCGAGTTGGCGCGCAACCCCGACGTCCGTGCCAAGTTGTTCGCTTCGCTCCCTTCCAAGGGCTTCAACGACGAGATCGTCACCAGCAAAGCAGTCCGCAGCGAGCCTGAGTACGAGTACCTCGAGGCCTGTATCAAGGAGAACCTCCGCCTGCACCCCATCGCTTCTGAGATGGGCCGCCGCACCGGCAACCAGTGGGTCAATCTCTGCGGCTACGACCTTCCTCCCCACACCGTCGTCTCTGCCTCATACCGCGACTTGCACCGCAACGAAGAGTTCTGGCCCCAGGCTGAGCGCTTCTGGCCTGAGAGATGGTTGGCCGAGGACAAGCGCGAAGGTGCTCCCGCTCCCGAGTAAGTGGCCACGGCATTTGGGTTCTGTCCAGAAAATTCCAGAAGCGACTAACATTTGCACTAGCATGGATGCTTACTACCCCTTCTCTGGAGGCAAGCACTCTTGCATTGGCATCAAGTAAGTTTATGCTTTCCACTCTGCTGTCGATCTCTATTCTGACAGAACTCTAGCTTCGCATGGGCCGAGATGAGAATGGTCGCAGCCAACCTGCTTCAGAGATTCGACGTTCTCGAAGTTCCTGGACAGGACATTGACTTCCGCCAGTACATCACCATGCAATTTGCGACTGGTCACTGGAAGGTGGTGCTCAAGCCCAGGAACTGAGCTTCTACAAGACTTACGCCAAAAGACCCGAAATGAACTATCACGCTGATGAAAGAGATTGGACCTCACTGTTTTGCGCATCTTCGCGTTGCGTGCATCTATAGAATTTGGATTGTATTTCACGGCCCACGGCACCGGAGTCGGAGTTTGGGAGACGGCATTTCACGGCATGCAGAGAGAACTACCCATGGAGCTCAAGACACCCCAGATAGCATGGCCCAGGCATAGGCAGCCCTTGAAATTGAACAACGAAAAAGTTTTACCAACTTCTCTACTACTTGTTCCCCATACAGCACATCAGTTCCATCCGTCGGGCTCGATCCGCTGACCTGACCCTTACAAGCGCAGCTGAGCATGCCTCCTCAAAGTTTCGCCAATGGTTATTGAAACCTACAGATCGCATGGGACGAAGGACTTACCGTTTCTGATTATCCAGAAAGAAAGTGCTCAGCTTTGCGTTACAGTGGGTATCGCAGCTTTCACATGCAAACGGGAAGCTTATTGTAGGACCAATTACGAGCCTCTCGTACTGTGCGCACGCCGTTGTTGTCTCTCTGTCGATGGGGCCAAATGGCATGTCATCTGACAGAATCGTCTCAGTGAACAACGGAGAACCTGGTCGCCTACCCCGGGGACGGGCAGAATCAAAAAGCTTATTCAAGCGGTCCCTGGTGGGGACGGGGAGACTGCGCAGCGCATGGGTTACGACGAGCAAAAGGTCCACGGGGGGTCCCCGGCGAGAAAGTCACCGGCTTGGCGGTCCCGGTCGGCGGCGGCTTTTTGACAAAGGGCCCGGAAAACGCGGATGTTGCGAGAGATGCTGCGGCACTAGGTAGAGTTGTCCCACCGGCGGGGCGACGCAATGTAACTTGTTGATTACTGATTGACAGTGGCAGGAACAAGAGGGGTTCCTGGGTAGGAGAGAGGTTGTAATTCACCGAGACCCGCCTTGGAAGAGGGGTTGTTTGACCTGGAAACTTGCTTGAGATTTACACAGCCCATGGTGCTCAGCTATTCATTTTGAAGCAACCTACACACAGAATACCCGACAATCGCTTAAAGTGCCTTCGTGAGCTTGATTTGGTCGAGGCATCTCAAGTTTACCAAAAGTAAGATGCAACACAAGGATGCCGAGTTGACTCTGTTCACCTCTCATGCAGCGGATTCGCTGATGGAGATCTGACCATATTTTCCAAATCACTTTGAGATGTAGGTAGACCTGGATCATTGGACTAAAGAGCAGGGGGATATTTCTGAGCTGGTTGATGCTCCGTACAGTCCAAAGACCAAAAAGTCAAGTGCTCGGACTCAACGCAAGTAAGACCATAAGCAGCATTGGGGCAGTCACTCGTACCAACTTCGGAAGGAAATTTGAAGAAATGCTATCAATATTCACAGAGCAATTTGTTGAAGGGAGTATGACTGGAGCAGTTTAGTATGAGAGCGCACTCATTCACAATCTTATTCGAATCTTGCAGAGCCAGCCTGCGATACAGCGATAAGCAGAGTTATGCTAGTGACCAATCATGCATCGAGTTTCTGCGCCATTCCCGATTAGTCAGATCGGGTTTGGAGGTTTTGGTCGGCAATGAGCTCGGGTATCAAATCGGTTTCTCTTCTCAACTTCACCCCTACTATGACTCACCCCAATCATTTCCGAAATGCGAACCAGCGTTTCTTGCGAAGCTTGCCGGTAGCAAAACCTTCCGTATTATCTGTTCTGGCTTCTGACGTGATGTTTTTAGCAAATCGAAACTCAGGTGCATCCACAGCGGCAGTCCACCATGCGAGCGGTGCGACAAGTTTGGATACCCAGACTGCCAGCTTTCGCGGCCTCGCGTCAAGCCGATCAGGCGCGCTGCTGCACGTGCTCGAGTTACAGACGTTGAACCCTCTACAGCGCCGGGTGAGTTGATCTTTGCATATCTAGACCGAGTCCTGCTAACGGAAACTCAAGCCCCAGGAGCCTCGGGAGCTCCTCAGACGCCAGCGCTTAGAATATTGCCCAGCAATGATGTAGACGGCCACTTGGGGATGCTTCCCATGAGCATCATCATAAAGTCCTTGCATATCTTTAGAACAAATTTTCCTGAGATGAACATGCTACATCCCGATCTGTTTTCCCGCATATTCCTATCGGATCGCAAGGCTAATAGCAAAGCCTTGCTGGCAGCTTTGCTTGCAGCAATAAAGAAGGAAGAATGCTACATCGATGGGTCTTGGATGAATCAGCTACTTCCAAGCGAAGAGTATGCGTCTTTCTCTCGCGGTGTGCTTTCAAACGCCATGCTCGGGCCCCCAGAAGTTGTTGTTGTTCAAGCCCACCTTATCCTGACGCTGTATGAATGGGGCGTGAGAGATTTCCAAAAAGCCTGGGTGCACTGTGGTATGCTATCAAGATGGAAGGATTGTAACGAAGGCTTTTAGTGTTAACCTCCAATCCAGGCATCGGCATTAGAATCATGCAATCTCTGCATAGCGCTCGAACAGCCCCGTTTTCTCTTGATGAGACCATCAACGTTGAGAAGCCCGACGAGCTGTCCCAGATCGTTGAAACTGCGACCTACTGGGCTTGCTTCATATTAGACTGCACAATCAACTCAGGAACGTACAACCCTCGTATGCTATCTATGACCGAGATGCTCAAGCTACAAGTTCCTCGAGCGCCACCCGCCAGCGGGTTTCTATTCGGATTCAAGCAGAAGCCTATGACCGACCGAAGCTTGCCCCTGGGTATAGAAGAGTGTTACGAAGTCCTGGTTGACGGGTTCGCAATCTATGCAGACGTCATGACATTCGTGTACAATGATGGACGGAAAGCGCCCGGGATGTGTGCGCCCGCAGAGTGCCCCTGGATGCCAGATTCAAAATGGGCGAAGTGTCGGCAATCCCTGGAAAGATGGCGAAGCAATATGGATTCTTGTCTGTATTATCCAAAACACAGTGTCGCATCGCATGCGAATACCGGCTGCCGGGCATTTGTCTACATCAACCTGCTATATTATCACTGGTGAGCTGCATTCTCACCTCCACCTACTTGTTGCTTCTGACTGACGTTACTTTCAGCGTTCTCATGCTCAACAGGGAATATTTCCCCTTCCTGCCGAAACCGCATGCGGAACCGCAAGGCCCTACGGATCCCCCATTTCTCGAAGCTGAGGCACCACCGCGTTATTGGGAAAATAGTGCCAAAGCGCTCTTCGAAGCAGCAGCACATGTGGCGACAATTCTGCGTGACGCTCTTGAGTGGGGCATGACAATGATGACTCCTGTGCCTGGCTTCTGTGGCTTCTCAGCTTGTTACCTGAATCTTTACGCTGTTAATTTTCCCAATATGACAGCAGGATGTAGCCCAAAGGCTAAAGAACATCTGGACATGGGTCTTGCATATCTCGAGGAGTTCCGAAAGGCTTGGGATCTCGGAGAGGGTTGGGTGAGAAATCTCTTTGAACTAAGTCTCCTGCTCTGATTACTAAAACCATACAGATCCAAACTATTAAAAACGCCTCGACATTGTTTGAGGAAGTGAGCTCAAATGTTGATAGATATCGTCACAGATCACGCCTGGACTTTGAAGTCCTGCATCAATCGGCTCACGAGTTCAGGACGGTTGACAGGTCAGAACAACACGTGGCCATGATCCGTGAAGCAGAACAGGGAGACGCGCAGTCCATCAACGTTGGCGAAGATAATAACGACGCTCTTAGTGACTCAGAAGACCTTGAAAACTTCGATCCTGTAGCTTTGTTGGGAGATCAGGCGTTGTGGCCTACTTGGTACTCCGCTTCTTTGGAGAACGAGGCTTTTGGAAGTGTTTCACTCCAAATTCCTTGAGTGTCAAGCATACCGTACCCGGACATCATTTACAATTCCTACAAGCAACTTATTGAACGAAATTATTCAAAGGGCATGAAGCCCAAAGAATGAAGACATTTTGGGCTCAATTGTCATAAACACGCGCCTTCAGGTGTACATTAAATTGCATGTAGTCTGACTGCAGGCGATAAGACTAGGAGAAAGACTGTCACAAGCAACAAATCAGAAGATGCAGTCCTTTATTTTGTTCTTCTCCTGTAATGAACGTCTAAGATTGCGGCGAGCTGATATATTGATTGGCCGCAGATGGGGGTCTCAACTAAGGTAGCCTGGATCGCTCTATTTCGGGTATGTTCAATCCCGATCTGAAACCCGACCTCCTTCTGCTGTTGCAATGCGTCTTTTCCATGACGTTGACGTCGTTTCTTATGCCAATTATTTTTAATCTTGAGTGACTGAGTTTGTCCGGCAGACTGCATAAAAACCATTCGTCCTTTCCCCAGCACGCTACTGCTCGGTTTTCTGACTTCACACCACCATTCAACTCATCATGTCATCTCCCCAGGGCAGCAAGGCACCCACCAATTGGGTGCTGACCGCGGACGCACTTAATCATGCTCTCCCTAACATGTCCATGGCTACGCGAGCTGTGCATTCGGACGATTTCTTCACCCCTCACCGTGCCATCGCGCCAGGAATGCAAGTCGCGGTGAACTATCGCTACGCTCGCGACGCAGAGGACCTGAAGCAGGGCGACAACACAGATGTGAGTCTCGCGGTGAATCAATACTTTCCTTGCGTCAGCAACTGACGAAACAGCCCAATGCTCCCGAGGACTCTCACGTCTACTCACGATACACTAACCCAAACACGAGTCGACTGGAGATGATCTTGCGAAATGTCTTCGGGGGCCATGTTGTCACTTATTCTAGTGGCCTCTCAGCATTCCATGCATTGATGGTCTGTGTCAACCCCAAACGTGTGTTCATCGGTCAAGGCTACCACGGCATTCATGGAGTTATTGAAATCATGTCCAAGTTGACTGGGGTCAAAAAGCTGACCCTGGAGGACCTCGATCAACTTCAAGCCGGTGACATCGTTCATGTCGAGACGCCACTTAACCCTACCGGCGAGGCAGCCAACCTTGCCTACTACAGTGAGAAGGCTCGCGCGGCCGGGGCATACCTCAGCGTTGACGCTACGTTCGCGCCGCCTCCGCTGCAAGATCCACTTCAACTCGGGGCTGATGTTGTAATGCACAGTGGCACGAAGTACATTGGTGGACATTCCGACATGCTCTGCGGTATCCTTGTCATCCATCAGGATCGTGTCAAGGAAGGCTGGGTCGATACTCTTTACAAGGAGCGCCAAATCATTGGCTCAGTGATGGGCAGCTTCGAAGGATGGCTCGGTATCCGATCCGTACGCACTCTTCAACTTCGCGTGACTCGGCAGTCACAGACCTGCACAAACCTGGTCGCCTGGCTACTCCAAGAGATGCATCGATCCAGATCGGTAGTAAACCAAGCTGTTGCCGAGATCCGCCATGCCTCTTTGCAAACGGACGCTCTCAGCGATGGCTGGCTCCATAATCAGATGCCCGGTGGCTTTGGCGCTGTGTTTAGCTTGACAATGAAGAGTCCCGAACATTCGAAGAGAATGCCGGGCCGAATGTATATATTCCAACATGCAACAAGCTTGGGAGGCGTGGAGAGTTTGATGGAATGGCGGTCTATGAGCGACTCGGGTTGCGACAAAAGACTGCTCCGAGTGAGCTGTGGAGTGGAGGACATGGAGGATCTGAAGGTGGACCTGGTTCAGGGTATGGAAGTTCTGCTGAAGGAGTTTCCACTGGATGCCTCTGCATGATTGCAATTATATCGAAAGAAGAAGTACACATGAAGTATACCGTTCTCATACAAATGCATATGTCATGCAATTGATCCAATGACACTCAAAGACTTCTTAAATGTTCAAATCAAACAGCCAGGCTTACGAATGTGGATTACAAGGAAAGGAATCACTAGATTTGCATGTACTGACCTAGCACGTGCGATTGGTCGTTGCCAAGATCTATATCGCTTCTCCAAAAGTACTTCTCTGGTATCTCAACCCCTGATCTTTCCAGGCTACTCGTGCTTTATTGACGGGCGTTGCACAAGTTGGGTGGGCAATTTTTCTAAACACGCTGGTCTCAATCATTTGCTAAGTTTCCATTCTGACCATGTACAATTCCACGTGCTGTGACTGTGACGATCAAGCTCCAAAGGCTCACAAACCACGTGCGTTACTAGTTAACTTGTGTTCAGATACAAGCCAGTCAAGACGGTTTTCAACTCGCCTGACTCTCCCTAAAAAAATTTAACGTCCCCCATTGGGTCAGTTTGGGAAAACGTTTCGGGTAAGATATGTCGGTTCTCTGCCGCATTTGGGAATACAACACGATGTCTCGAGGATGTGGAGCAGGCACGTTGTGGAATGCGTGAGGTAGATCTGATCACAGGACCTAATGACTTCCCTGCAGGCTGTAAGCGAGCTCATCGGTCGCAAAAATGGGAGCACATGGGAGAAGACATGCACGACGTGGAGAAAACAGCGCGACGCTCACTAGTAGGACTATTTTCATGGGATTATCGAACCAGTACAAAGTATCAGAGCCGAAGGAACGTGAGGAATACTCTTCGCCGAGATTCACATGACGCCGAGACTCCCGGCAGCCCGGGGCGACTAACTCTGAGACATCCTCACCAATATCCCCACTACATGTTTTACAAACCGTCGGTTTCGTCCACCAGCCTTAGGTAGCGCAGGACACTGCTGGAAATACCGCGCCATTGCAGGCGATAATAACAGGAGTTTGATTCCGCATGCGTGGTAACACTCTTGGAACAGCAGATCCGGCTATCCGGTAGTCATGGTGCGCCTAAATACATAAACCGGCCATAGCTCTAGGTCTTGATATAAGGCACCACTTGAGGCAACTATCATTATTTCGTTCCTGCTCGAAGATCAAAGCCCATCTCCCCGTACATCAAAAGCGGCACGCAAGTTTGATTTCCAAGAGAACATAGAGTCAGCCCTCGCTTTGTGTTTACAATGGTCACCTCTCGCCAAAAGTCCGATGAATTTGACATCTCTAAATACATCACCCCGTGGAAACCCTCCAACCAGAAGAGGTATCTGATTGAGAACGCCAAAATTGTTGACCCTGTCAGCGGCACCACCTCGGAAAACACCTCAATCGCGCTTGAAGATGGCAGAATAGTTTTTGTTAAGCCGGCCGGCTCCTCCCGCGAGGCGCAGCTAGACGTTGACCCCGAGAATATTGTGGACGTTAAAGGAAAATACGTCTGCCCTGGCCTCATCGACTGCCATGTCCATATTGCGGTGCCCCCTGGCGCAGCATCCCTTTCCTCGTACCGCGACATGACCGAGACAAAAAGCCTGATCCGCCAGCCCAATGTTCTCAAATCCATGCTGGACCGCGGCTTCACTACCGTCCGAGACTGCGGCGGTGCAACCTTGGCCATGAAAGAAGCGGTCGAAGAGGGCATCCACCCGGGACCTCGTTTATTCATCTCTGGGAAGGCACTTTCGCAGACGGGCGGGCATGGAGACATGCGGGGCCGCCACGATACTATGCCCTGCTGCGGGGGTGATGTATCGGGTATCAGTCGTATTGTGGATGGAGTGCCCGACTGTCTCCATGTTGCGAGGGATGAGCTTCGACAGGGGGCAGATTTTATCAAGATCATGGGTGGCGGCGGTGTTGCTAGCCCGACGGATCGAATTGACTCCTTGCAGTTCTCTGATGAAGAGATCAGAGCTATCGTCACTGCCGCAACAAATGCGAAGTCGTATGTCTCCAGCCATTGCTACACCACCGAGGCCGTACGTCAGGCTATTGGACAGGGTGTCAGGGGCATCGAACATGGCAAACTGATCGATCTGGAAACTGCCAAACTGATGGCCGAGAAGGGGACGTTCCTCACTCCGACGCTTGTAACGAATTTCATGTCCAAAGAATTACATTTCCTCGAACCAGAGTCCGAGGCCAAGGTCACTGAGGTGCTGGACCGCGGGCTTGCGACGCTGAAAATGGCGACAGAGGTTGGTGTTACGGTGTGCTTTGGGACTGACCTCCTGGGGCCCACTCACTTTGCGCAGAGCAAGGAATTCTCCATCCGCAGTCGAGTTCAGAGCCCGGTAGAGGTCTTGAGGAGTGCGACTGTCAATGCCGCGAAGCTGCTCCGGCGGGAAGACAGGTTGGGCCAGGTCAAGGAAGGATTCATGGCTGATCTTCTGATCATGGAGCGCAATCCGTTGGATGACATCTCGATATTGGACAACCCCGAGGAGGCCATATTAGCTATTATTAAGGATGGTAGAGTAGTGCGGTCCAGGCTCAGGACGCTGCAGTAAAGGCCAAGCAGGGCCTGGAGGGCGGTGGCTGCCCAAGACAGGTATTCCACCATCAATGAAACATCGAAAAATTTCTCCCTCAAAATAAGACTCTTCATTGTAACAAAGCTAAGATTGAATGAGAAGCATTGCTAGTGACAGAGGAGCAGGGATTATTCGAATTTGCGTTGGAAAATGATGGTATCAGTCCCGCTCAGCCACAAGCTCGTACTTGCGGTCTACCGTTCAGCTCCAATCAGACGAAACAATACTTTGACCTTGCCGTGGGATGAGAGCAGGCGAATGGGATAGGGTCAGCGGGCTCTTTGCTTGGAAACCTTCGGTGACCACACCGCCAAAAACTTCATCGGCTATGCCGTCTACTTCTTACATGTGGCCGAAGGTTTAACGCAGTGTGCAATGAGATGGAAGGAGCTGAGAACCTCATAGCAGGCTGGCAGTTGGCAGTTCTACCTCAGAAAGGATGTGGCCATTTCCAACCGCACATGGCGTTGGCGGGAATGTGTGTTTGTATTTCCATACTCGTGACGTTCTGTAGTCATGTTGAATTTATGCATAAGCCATACACGGTGCTGTAGGGATGAACGTGTCTGGAAGCCCCTATTGAAATGTTGCTCGTATTGACGAATCCATTCGTGTGGAATCTGTGACCAAGGACAGGGCTTTACAAGGTCACAGTGCTCATCTTCGATGGGCCATGGCCAAGATACGGCCTACCTTCCTTTTAGCAGGCGGAGAACCTTCCTAATTTGCACAAGAATACCTTCGTAGAGACTTGGTTTAGTGCTTTGGCACTCCATCACTCTCAAATTGGAATACGAACATGTTATATTCCCACGATGTGGCCTTGTTGATGCCTGAAGGAATGGCGTATTTATATAGCAGACACTTTCACCCAGTGGCAGGTGGTTGAACATTCTTCACCAGCATCTACTCGTTCAAACTCATCATCGCTCGTTAATTTCAGTATTCGCTGTATCAGTCACTACCACCTTTCAAGAATGCGCTACACACCGATCTTCCTCGCGGCCCTTGCTGCTGCCGCTCCTGCTGCCGTCCCCGGCGTTGAGGTCACCAACGTTTCCGCCAAGACCCTATCCAACAATACGCTTACTTACGACTTCGACGTGCTTGATGGCACCAATGGGCAGACGGTCCACTGCAATTCTGAATGGTAAGAAGTGTTTGGTGACCAATGCTTATATGTACCGTCCTGCTGACAGTGTTACCCAGGGATGCTGCGACCCGGAACACGGCAGTCACTTGCTCTGTGCCCGAGTACACCGCCAGCATCTACTTACCTGCAGGCATTTCCGGCATCCAGGATTGGGTTACATTCATTGGCGTAGAGGATCGCTCTACCCGCTATCTTGCTCAGGTCCAAACTGGCACGTCTGACTATGTCTGCGGACACTCCGGCACCGATGACGTCCTCAGCCAATGCTTCACTGCCCCTGAGGTGAAGATTCGGGCCGTTGAGGCCAACTAATACTCTCCAGCTGGAATCACTCGTGGTTTTCAACCCTCTCCAAGCCCAAATTTTTGAGCCACCTTCAAACCAAGCCAAAAAGGGGGTTAGGAGTCTTGGAGCACAGCCACATCGTGTAGGGGAAGGCCCAGAAGGGCATCGAGTTATTCTTTTGGGGGTCAATAACAACAATTTTCATCGTCATACGATGGCCCAAGCTTTGTTCTCTAATTCAACTTCTATAAATTACACTTGGTTTTGGCGATGTTCCCAATGTTTCTCACCGGGCATGAAATGTTTGCGTCTTTTCAAATGGATATCTGTTCACCTTGTAACAGTGGGTGTGGCGTAATCATGAACCTGCAAGCCCAGAATCCCACTGACTACAGGCGGAACAGAAGCATCAAATTACCAATGCAAGGTGGGACACGATGCTACGATTGACATGCCTTTTTGAGAAGGTATATCCTGTAGGCAGACTCGCCTGAAGCAAACTTCGCACAATGTGGGGGCCAAGTTCCAAGTTTAATTTTGCCCCAGCATCACCAGATTCTGGGATGTGCATCGTGTGCCCTTGACAAGTCCTATCCTACCAATAAGTCACTTAACACCCCCGTGGGAACCCTGTGGGTATGCAGAGAATCCAAGCCAAGCGATACTCCGCACGTACACTCATAGCCACTCATCTCACTGTAGAGTCCAACGATGCCTTTCAATCTTGACCTCGATACGCAAGGGACTAGGGCACTCCTATAAGCCGCGCGACCCGCCCTGGCTTTCCCGCATATGGTAATGTAAGCGCCAGAGTGTAAAGACGACGCCCGTGCGCCTCGTATACGGCCACCGCGGAGCCCCGTAAAGCTCGAGCATATTGAAGCCAGATGCAGATCTTGTGATCTGAAGTCTGTATCACCACGCTTCTTATTGGAGCTACACCCTTAAATATGATCTTCTCCTTGTTGAAGTTGATCAGGATTAAAAGCAAGTGCTATGCACGACGCCATCCCATAGACGTTCAATGTCAGTTGCCGTACGTGACCCCTGACGACCGTCTGAAATCCTAACTTCGTGGGGGTGAGTATCAAGACAACGGTCGTATCAATTTGTCGCGCAATCTTCAATTTATATAAGTACGGAAGGCTTTCATCACTGATGGGAGCAGCCCGTCAATGAGACCAGTATGGATCATGAATGGACTGCTTGTTTTTGGTTTGGAGATAAACTGTTGCGTGGTGCAACAAGAGTGGTCTGTAAAACAGTAACAATGTACGCCAGCTGATACAAAAGTATGTCTGACGTATGCTGAGCGGTGGGATCAAGTCTCGAAGAACTCAATTGCCGATGTCAAAATCAGGGGCTTTGGACTTCAAACACAGGCACGTAGGTGCATTCAGTGGTAGGCAACAAGCGGAGCTCCACAAGAACACGAAGCCTATGGTTGTATTGCAGCTGCAGCTAGGGGTAGCCACTGAATTGCATTGAAAATAATCATCGAGAGATATCGGAGTGTTTGTCGGAGTCAGCTAACAACGAGGTCTGAAGCTGGCCACATGTTTTGCCTTCTCACTCACTAGGGAAATTTGAACATCGGTATCTTAGATCTAAAAGCACCCAGTGAAGTTATTGTATAACCGGAAAGTTTAGACTTCCGTGAATGGACAAGTCAGAGCAAAGTTATCTTCATTATCATTCTTTGCTATATATCGGCCGGAGTGGAATGGATTTGCTAGACCTAACTCCAGCGAAAATCCAGTCGTCACCCACGGCTGGAAGGTATGTCGAAGAACGATGATCTTACCGACAGGTCCAGCGGCGCTCCGCTCGGACTGCGAGGTCTAAGGCCCGAGTACCTGATGATGGACTGGCCCCGCGCATGCTCAAAGCCGACGAGAAGATAGGTTGGATGCCAGGCCAAGCAACGGGGACGGGACAACTGCTGAGGTTATTAGAGCTCCAACGGAACACCAAGAATACATGTCAACAGTCCGATTCCCATCAGAACGGAGACCGCGGACTAGCGACATCCGGCAGGGTGCCCAATACCAAACACAAAGACATAGTAATGCACGCGCCAGGAGAATATGTGACTATTCTCCGATGGGTTTTGATGGGTTTTGCCCGCAGGCACGTTGAGTTCGTTCGGCAGTACTTGAGACCAAACTTCAAGATTGAAAGACATCAAGATCAGATGCGTGCAATATAAAACTTGGCTAATGACTTTCGAGAATTCTCAATCATTTAGAAAGATAATCAAACTTCTTTTTCTTGACAACCATACACCTGCTGAGAAAATCGCTTGCCTCGATTGTTGAATACTGAGCCCATCAAAGCAATCAATATGACTACACTGGAGACAACAGTTCAGAAGTATGCCGAAGAACGGGATAAGCGTCTTGCTGCTGTGCGCACTGAGGAGTACGCAAGCTTCCGTGACGATCATGGACTGCACGACCTTGCGGTAGATCCCTTCATTGACTACGACAACTTGGAGAAGGGAAGGCCGCTCAAGGACAGAGACGAAGTCAAGTTTCTTGCTATTGGAGCCGGAATCAGTTGTTTGCTGTTCGCGCATCGGCTCATTAGGGCCGGCTTTCAAGCTCAAGAATTTGTTGCAGTAGACACGGCAGGCGGCTTTGGCGGAACTTGGTGAGCAAACAACGATAAAGCTTTACTTGTGCTGGCATATCTGACTTTTTATGACTGATTTCAGGTACTGGAATCGATACCCTGGTGCCATGTGCGATGTCGAAGGCTACGTGTATCTTCCCCTGTTAGAGGAGACTGGCTACATTCCCAAGCACAAGTACTCATATGGCAGCGAAATCCGTCAACACCTGGAGAACGTCGCTGGTACCCTGAATATTCGCGGGATGTTTGGAACTACAGTTCAGAGCCAGAAGTGGGATGAAAAAGCCGGTCGCTGGATTGTGTCGATGGTGCAGAACCGTGGGCGCAACAGAGATCCCGTCCAGCTGACAGTGAGGACGCAGTTCCTTTTCTCTGCTGGGGGCTTTCTCGTCTCTCCGCATCTTCCAAAGTTGCCCGGACTCCAGGACTTCATTCGGAACAAGCGAATAATGCACACTGCACGTTGGGATTACAACTACACCGGCGGTTCGCAAGAAAAGCCGGATTTGTCGAACCTAAGGGATAAGGTCGTCGGTATTATCGGCACTGGCGCGACCGCTGTCCAAGTCGTCCCGGAAGTCGCCAAATGGGCAAAGAAGCTATACGTTTTCCAGCGCACGCCTACGTATGTCTCCGAACGCGGACAGAAAGAGACAGACCGGGCGACTTAGGCATCGGATGTTGCGACCAAGAAGGGTTGGCAATACGAACGAATGGATAACCTCAACCGCTCTCTGACGAATGACCCTCCCGAGAAGGATCTTTGCAACGACGGCTGGAGTGAATGCCATGCCTTTGCCGGTGTGATTGGGTCATCGAAGCCCTATGGTGGATCCCAAGAGGAGTCGTTGGCTTCGCTCATCGAGACTGATCGATCTCGCGCCGAGCGAGTCCGCAGACACACCGAAGAACAAGTCATGGATAAGTCTGTTGCAGAGAGGTTGAAGCCATGGTACGGAGTGTGGTGCAAGAGACCTGCCTTCCACGAAGAGTACCTGGCTTCTTTCAATCGACCTAACGTCGAGCTCGTCGATACAGATGGCCAGGGAATTGAGGGCTACACCTCCGAGGGAGTTCTTGCCAACGGAGGTCAGACATACCCCCTGGATCTTTTGATTCTCGCCACTGGCTTTCAAAGCGTAACATCTGGAGATGGGTCGCCATCCGGACAGACGGGATCCACATTCACAGGTCGCCACGGACGAGAAATCACCGAGAAATGGAATGGAGGAGAAGCTGGCTCCTTGTTTGGTGTCGCTACCCATGGCTTTCCCAACTTATTCTTTGCGGCTTTCTCCCATTTGGGAACCTCTCCAAACATCACGTCGGTCTATGTGAATGCAGCGGACGTCGTTGCGCACATCATTTCCACGGCCATTAAGAATGCATCCATTCCCGGAAAAACGGTCATTGAAGTTACCAGAGAGTTTGAGGAAAGGTACATCCAGCAAATGATTGAACGTGTAGGCTGGACAGCGCTCTCGCAAGCATGCACTCCTGGGTGGTTCACTGGCAATGCTAAGCTGCTAAAAGAAGGAATGGGCGTATCGAATTTGGTCTGGGGGACAGGAATCATTGACTATCGTAGCATGCTGGAGGGCTGGATGGCGAAAGGCAATCTCGATGGGCTGGCAGTCACATCGGCATCTGAGTAGTTCTGCCCCTGCGACACTTGAACAGTCCATGTTGCAACTCATAAAATCGGAAAATATTCGTATTTCATCTCAGTTACAAGTGGTAAAAGACACAAGGCTCTCTCGGAATATCAAAGATAGCAGACCTGCTCACGAAATTGTACTGAATGGCTCTTGGACAAGTGTAAACTTTCGTCCGGACTGGTGTCGAGTTCCAAGTACTCCATTCAATGGCCACCGGCTGCTAGTTCCGCGATTTTATCAGCAGCCACGTCTCTTCCCTGCCGGACAATGGACTTCGCCAGACGCTTGGCATTGGTCCGCATCTCTACGCAGGAGGGGCCACCATCAAGCATCGTCAAGAATGCCTCAGTCAGCTCATCTTGAGAAATGCCGGGGGCAGCCTTATGATTCCCTCTTACGCCAAGTTTGAAACTCTCTGCAAGGGCTGCATAGTTGTAGCAATCCAGCCAAGCAGGCACAACAAGGTGTGGTACTCCAGCTCTGCATTCACAGGTCAGTAATTTTTCCTATGGAAGCGAAATTCGTACGGAAGACCTACGACACAGCCTCATGATAGGAGCTTGCTCCCCCATGGTGCACAGAGAGAACGACATGGCCAGTCTCAAGTAGACTCAAAGGATCAGCAGAAAGCCATTTCTCTACTCTCAGCCTACCCGATTTCACATGATCCTCGACCAAAGGCATCCAAACACCGTCTTCGAGCACGGGTTCGGTGTTCGGCATGATCTTCCATAGAACCTGTACCTCAGTCCTCTCCAAAACAACCTTCAACGACCCAGCCATTGCCCTAGCTCGTTCCTCGTCATACCGGAAGAAACTCCCAAGATTGATCAACACCGTTGGCGCTTTATTCATCCATTTGGCAAGTTCTGGGTCTTGTTCTTCTGCTGTGGCGACCGAGATGGCAATAGGTCCTGTCGTCGTTACGTTGGGAGGGGTGCGGATGAGAGGGATAGAGGCGTTAGGAGTGTCTTGACAAATGAGATGGCCTAGAGGGGGGTCATGAAAATTGAAGTAAGAGATGGGATCGAGTCGCCCATTATCGTTCAAAAACTTTTGCTTCGACGCCTGATCTGGGCAAAACGTCATAGAATAGAGGAAGCAGGCCGCTTGATAGATGTTGGAAGTTATAGAACTCCAGGGGATGGGAAACGTATGGGCGGAACCCATGCTGTTTGTATTGTTCGTCAGTTTGCAAGTCATCTGACAGGACAAGGACAAGAGAGGGCCCTACGCTGGGAACTTCCAAAGGCCACTCAACCACGGTTGTGTTGATCCAAATATGTCTGCGAGCACATTCGGCGCGAGAACAGCATGCAGCCTCCGCTCGCTCCTGGCTGCATCCATTGCGGGCCTCAGGAAGATATCAAGAACAACGACACCGGGATCCAGGTCCCGGATGAGGTCCCTCACAAAGTTGTGCATTCGTAAATGATCCTCTCCTGTCCAGGGCGCCAGGTACACCTGCACTGCTTTCGTCACAGTGTCGATGCTACGGATGCCAGGCGGCCTAATGATCATCTCAGATGGCATCATCGTCGCAGGACCGAACTCAGGGCCAGGTAGCTCATGGAAAACCACATCGCTCGACGAGGAGTTCTGTCTGCCTGCATATGTCCGAATGCGATCGACCTTGGAGGCGAAACTCGGGAATGAAGCGATGTGGATCCTGAGGTTGGGGTGGTTCTTTAGCAGTGAGAATATCGTCGCGAGATGGACGTTAGAGAGACCATATTCAGTGTTGACTGCGAAGAGAATCGTGTCCGACCTGCCCTTGACTGCTGCAGAGGGCTTGCACTTGGAGGTCTTGAGGTGGACAGAAACGAGCCCCCCTAGAATGCCTACAAAGGCCGCCGCATAAATTTGATTCCAGTCAGTCATGGTTTGGAGGAAGTCGTTGCCTGTCAAAAATTACCGACGTGGTAGATCACTACGCGAGAAAGAGATCTTGGGATATAGCCTACATGTACTCGCCAGACTCGACGGCAACGCTTGCTATCGACGCGAGGCCCTACCCACATTTTAGATGAATTGCGACATAGTGTGCTATAATCGCCAGGGGTGAAATGTGTGCGTTTTAATCTTAGCGTAGGCACCCGGCCACAGGCGTATGTGGAAGCTCGTTACTGCGCCGCAGGGAGCTCTCCCGGATTGTTCAGGCTGACGTGAGATTCATCAGTGTCGCTGATTTGCTGATGCGCTATTCGTCGAAAAAGTTGGTACTCGTACGACTCCTCGTTTTGGGACTTATGTGCGGCATCTTGCACGAAGGATTTCGGTTAAAACCTCGCAACCCCGGATGAGAAAATAGCCAAGCGGAGAGGCGTTAGGCTCCAGGGAAAGTCGTGGGCATCTGAAATATGAACATTTTAGATACCTCAACTCACGCAATATACTCTCTTGGATAATTTCCAGATCTGCTTTCATACCTACCTGGGCAGTTCCGTGTATACACATTGACGTTTAACTACGACCGCACCATCGCCAAAAAGAATTAATAAGACATCAGGTGAAAAGTTGCAGCCCAATGGAATATGACAAGCACAACCTTGGTAGTTAGATGGCATTCTTAATTCCTGAGGGTGTTTCTTAGACACCGGGAGACCTCAAACAATAATCTTCGGCTAGTCTCTGTTGCCCGCCGAGATTGACGAAGGCTTCCGTGCCGGCCTCCTCAGCGGGGCCGATGTCGATCATCGGGATCCGGCCGGCCGGATTGTCGCGTTGAAGACCTTTCAGTTGGAATTTGGAGCCATCTCTGCCTACCAGGAAGTTGAAAACCCAAAGAATTTCAACGTGTAGTACATCTCAAGCATTCGGCGGTATTGAAGGAGGAGACGCTTGTCTGTATTTGCTATTAGATCATCGTGCTGCAAACCGAATGGTTCTCTACATTGTTGAGGTCGCCCCAATGAAGTTCTCCTCAGTTTATGACCCGTGACTGTACACCAAACATTTTCATTGACTTTCCTGCATTCAGTGCCATGTTTCCTTCTCGCGTGGGGAATAGCGCGCTCGTTCGGCAAAATGCAACCGACCCCCTGAGTTTGCCGCGGCGAGGTGGGAGGGACACCGTAAGCCGTGGGAAAACACTGTGAGCGCCCGCAAAGCCCCTGACTCGCCGCACCAGAACCCTGCGTGACCAGTGTTATCAGCTCTCACTTACGGCGATAGCGAAGCCCAAAGCTTCAATTGAGTATTGTATATCATGAAGCTTTAGATTTGCGCTGCCGATTTATCCTGCTGTGAGCTTCATCTTACTCGATTCTAACAGTATTCCGAGTCGGGGAGAAAATGTCGAAAAGAACGGATAGCCCAAGTTGGCAATGGAGTCTGGGCCTTCCTCTGGCTGCAGCCGGCGTCTTGGCCTACTTCTGGTCTGGACAGCTAGGGGGGTTTACTACCAGTCAATCAACGAAGTCTAAGTACAGCCCGGCAGCGTCGGTCACAATCAACCAGGGAACCATTCTTGGCAGGCTAGTAACTGACGGTACGTTTCCGGAGCCCCTGGAAGGCTTCATGGGAATACCGTATGCCCTTCCACCGGTCGGACAGTTGAGATTCCGCCATGCCGTCCCTGTAGCCGCTGGAAACGGCACACTCGAGGCTTTCGAATTGGGTCCAAGGTGGGTTTGAGCCAAGAGATGAGACAGATTATGAGTTGATAACATAAACATGCAACTAGATGCCCTGGAAAGCAGCTTGTTCCCTTCACCGACGACGAGTGGCTGGGCCCCGACTGGGAGAGTGAAGACTGCTTGACTATCAATGTGTATCGTCCGAAAGGCCATACGGCCAGCGATAAGAAGCTTCCTGTCGCGGTGATGATCCCTGGGGGCGCATTCAACCGCGGAGCAGCTCGGATGCACAACACGCCATCGATGCTGGCTTGGTCTGAAGAGCCCTGGATTGGTGTCTCAATGCAGTATCGCATTGGTGTTGCGGGTGGCATGAACACCGCTTTAACCAAGAAAGAAGGTCTCTTGAATCTGGGCCTCAAGGACATGTATGTGGCCTTGGAGTGGGTTCAAAAGAACATCGCTGCTTTTGGCGGTGATCCTGATGATGTAACCATCATGGGGCTATCTGCTGCTGCTCACGGTGTAAGCGGCCTTGGTTATGGAGAAGTTTTCTTAGTTTTGCTAATCGATGTGTAGATTGGCCATCTGGTTATGGACATTAACCAGAAGAAGAAGCTTTTTCACAAGGCCATCATGGACTCCGGCGGCCACACCGCCCGAGTAGTTCACCCACCCGAGTCGAAGCTCAACGAGGCTCATTTTCAGGAGTTTCTCGAGCTCACTGGCTGCAACAACCGCCCCGAGCATGAGATCCTGCCGTGTCTCCGCGCGCTGCCCTCTTCGACAATCATTGAGTCGGGTCAGAAAGTTTACGAGAAGTCCAATCCGTCTGTTCGATGGGCTTGGCAACCTGTCCTCGACGGTGACATCATCTCTCGGCGTCCCATTGATGCCTGGAAGTCTGGGAAGTGGAACAAGGTCCCTATCTTTACTGGATCTGCTCACAACGAGGGCGCGATGTACGTCCCCAAGGCAGCATCTTCACCTGATGATTTCACAGACTTCTTTCGCACTCTCCTCCCGCAGCTTTCAGATAAGGAGCTGGCTGAGCTGAACAAGCTTTACCCTGACCCTTCAAAGTACCCGGACTCAGAGTATGTGGAGACTCGCCCCCTCGATATCGGCGCACAATACAAGCGTGCCGAAGCTGCCTATGGACACTACGCATACACTTGCCCCGTCCGGCAGACTGCAGTTTGGGGAAGCAAATCTCCTGAGGATCCTCCGGTGTACCTCTACCACTGGGCTCTCAACAAAACTGCCCTTTATGGGGCCAACCACGGTGATCAGATGCGGTATCAGACTTACAACGCCGAAGTGCGGTCTATCTCGCCCAAGCAAGACGAGATTGCCGGCTTGATACATGCGTATGCCACATCGTTCATCGTGCATGGGGACCCCAATAAGATTAAGGGCAAATTCGAGGAGCGTCCTGAGTGGTTGCCTTTTGCTGGCAACAAGGGAAAAGAGGCTGGAAAGACGATGATCTTTGGCGAGGGCAACGATGAGCGTGCTGGTGGCTCTAGTTTGGGAACCTCCGCTTATTTCGTAGATTACAAATGGGCGGAGAAGGAGTGTAACTTCTGGTGGAAGCAGACGGAAAACTTCGAGGATTGAGTGCAAGAAACGTGTCACGAATTCCCCTAACGCGCTTGTTCATACTTGATTACATAGCGATGGCCTGATGAAGTTTTCAATTGTCAAGTGAACCTTTTGCTGCTCATGACCTCTTGCCACTCGTTCTAGATACACTCTCCCAGCTTGCACATCTACTCCGATTTTGACAAGTAGTAGGGAAACAGGTCATTATTCGTATTCTAGTTGTACATGAAACGTATCTTCGTTCTCAAAGCGCATCAAAACATATCCCACAAGTTCGGGAAAAGCTCATCAATAATCGGAACCTCTGACGACATCATCAACTGTTGAAACTCAGGCACAGTCGCTGAGGGACTGTCCGCCGTCATCAACTTCTCTACAACTTCGGCGTACTGCGCTAAGCAGAGATCTCCAAGGTCCCAACCAGACTTCTGCTGGTGCGACTGCAATGAATCAATCAGATTATTCGCCAGCCTCAAAGACGCACTTTGAGCCAGACCGGCCGCCGTGTTTTCTGTTTCTAGTGCGCATCGCAGTAGGAACGTGATCGCCGACGTGAACGCGAACGCGCTGACGGGCAACCAAAAGTCGCTGAGGTGGATCTCTTCCAACTCCTGGACGAGAAGAACGATCTCCTCGACAGCCCGGCGAACCTGGATGTACCGGTTCGTTAGTGCGTCGCCGAGGGCTGCATCCTCTTGCTTCTCAATGTCGAGCTCAATTCTTCTGCGGAGAAGCTTGGTCGACAGATAAGCTAGCCGCAGGTTTGCCGCGCCGGGGATGTGTAGGTTGTTGCCGCGGGTGATGATCCGTCTCACGTCGTCGCTCAGAGAATCTTCCCATTGGCCGAGACTGAGTTCTAGTCCGAGAGAGGTCTGGCCGTTATCTTGGTCACGGTCCTGGTTAAGATCGTACACGAACTCGAGGTACTTGTCGAGGACGCCTGTCAGGGTAACAAGAGCTATGAAAACTGACGCAGCTCCGTTCTGCGCATCACTTGCATCTTTGCTTGTGAGAAACTCCAGTGTGGGATCTGGAACATCATACTGGAAGCGTTTGATTTGAGGCGGTGTGCCGTAAGCCAGACTTAGCCTGTAAAACATCGTATCAGCCATTGATCATCAGTACCTTGTTTAGAGAAAGTCTCACCATTTGTCATGAACCACCAAGGCCCACCATATCTTCATTCTCAAACACTTCTCAGGGATAGAGATATTCCAGTCGGTTGGATCGCGATTGAGACCCAAAGACTGTGCCAATGAAACTGCTGCACCAAGTTGGATCTCATTCATGATCATGGATGTGGTTGGCCTGCCGCCAACGTTGAGAATGATGGCGATAATCGTAGAGATACCAGGTGAAATGTGCAGCTCCGAAAAGAGCGTCTCGGTTGCTTGGTTCCATATGAACCGGGAATCAGGGCAATATTCCGATGGCAAGTCTGGACAATTCTTCCAAAAGATCATCGAGTGAGCATAGAGAACTGACAACAAGGCCGGTGATATCCTGTCTCTAGCGGTTTGAAACTGGTGCTTGAAGGACACTTCATCTAGAAGCGGAAAGCAGATGTTGACTTTTTGGAAGTATCTACGCCACAGCCGTTAGCATTGTGGTATGATGTTTAACCCATGACAAAGACATGCTTTGCCAAGAATCCTCTGATGTGGGGACGAGCTTCCATCGTCCAGCCCCCAATATCAACAGGGGTTGCTCTCCTGGCCTGCGAAAAAAGAAACGTCTTCAACTTACAGATCAATAAGTGTCGATGTCCAAGGCTCTAGCATCTTCTCCACAATCTGATACTTCTGCAACGGCGCCGTTTGCCGGGGCGAGAGACCGAAAGGCCGCTTCCGGACTGCCGTGAAGATAACAGGCTTCCGAATCCCACCGGACAAGTCCATTGATGAACGCGGCGTTTGTCCCACTTGCGATCCCGGCCTTGGCTTGACCACCCTAATCATCCTTTCATGAATGCTTGGTTCCGAGCTCAGGTAATCTGCGAGCACCTGTGTGTCGTTTGTAACCGCCGGACCAATGATATGCGAATTGTCTTCATCTTCGGGACTGTCCAAAGCCAGCATTAAGTGCGGATTATGCGGACTCAGCACAGCTTTGGGACCCGGTGCTGATGTCGTGCTCGTCGGTGGAGACGTAGAGGTGGTCCTCACATGTATGCTGCTCTGGGGTGCCTTAGCTGCTGCGACAGCGAGAGGTTCCCTTCGACATGGCGTGTTGGACTGGGGGCTCCGGTACGATTTCTGGACTTTCCCGGGGTTCAACGGCGCGCGCCCAGCGCTTCGAGGTGACGGCGGAAATTCGCAGTCAGTGCCGTAGACATGGCACATTTGACACGTCGAAGAGCTGATCCCCTCCTGCTGCTGGCATCGCGACTTGCGGCGCCGGCACTGCAAGCATGCTGGGCGCAGATGGGACCGGTACGGCCGGGGCGTCGGTTGGTCTCCTGATGCTGTAGACATTCTGCCCTTCCAGTGTCTGAGTTGTCCGTGTCTGAGCTCTGTTCTGTGGTTGCGGAGTCCGGATATCGGCTGATGACTCGGGCAAAGGTTGGGTGGGAGTTGCGTCGTTGATATTTCCCCGCGGAAAGCTCCACAACCATTATCATGGCTTAATCCCGATCAAAGACGCTAGTGCTCATATCTCTGTTAGTCAACGCGCAAGCTGATAAGGCGGAGGTTCACCGAGATGACTCCACTCTGTCGTTTCCAGCAACAGATTCAGGACTTCGGCGGTCAAATCTGGACTCCGGGGCCATTCGGTTTACCGATGCCGCACAGTGCCCACGGTAACTCCACCCGCTCTCCACGTTAATGAACCCAGCGGCATGTAGGCCCCATCCCGACGCGGGGAAGCGTTTTGCAGTCCTCGGTTCCTTATCAAGTCATGGATCCTGTTACTGGGATAGGACGCTGGCTTGGCTGGGAGTTATCGCCTGACATGTTATCTGCAGCCTATGCCATCTGGGACCGAAGTCTTCAGTAGTCAGCGCCTATCGGCATGTATCTTATCGAGTTGGTCAACGAGTCGTAGGCGCTATCAGAGCCACCACCGGGTGTCATTTACCCCTTGTAATGACAATGAATAAAAAGACCATCGCAACCTGGCAGTTTTCCGCTGCGGAAAAGTGTCGACAACTCGCCCTTGTCCGAGAGCTCAACAACTCCAACAACATTGCTGCATCTTGCCATTTGCAACCAACACTAGCAATAATAGCAACTCCCTTTCACTAGGCCGAGTTGCACCCACTTCATTCAATCGCGTGCTCGGGCACATCATCTCTAGGAGTAAGGAACGACCCGCCAGGCTGGTCAGACTTCCCCAGACTCCACAATGGCCATCGAATCGTCGATAAACGAAGGGCAGCCGAAGCCCAAGGACCCTGAAATTGCGGAGAAGGCACCATCCATCGCGGCTAGTGTCGGCGAGGAGCTCAAGACCGGTCAAGTCGAGCTCCTCGATGAGGCCGAGGTTTTCCTGCAGCAGAATGGCATCCCCCACTCCCGGCTCAAGGAGCTGCTTGAGGATGAGGCCGCTCAGAAGAAGCTTGTTCGACACATCGACCTGACCCTTCTTCCCTTGCTTATGGGAACAGTAAGTTCACTTGTATTACGTACTGCTTTGCACAGTCAACTAATCATCCCTCAGTACTTCTTGCAATACATCGACAAGCAGGCACTAAGCTACGGCGCCGTCTTCGACCTCTTCGAGACAACAAACACATCTCAGAGCCAGTACTCGTGGCTTGCCAGCATCTTCTACTTCGCGTACCTTCTCGCTGAATGGCCGGCCAGCTACCTCGCTCAGCACTTCCCTACTGGCACCGTCGTCAGCGTCTTCGTCACTTGCTGGGGCATTGTTCTGACATGCACCGCCGCATCTCACAGTTTTGCCGGCCTCGCGGTCTGCCGATTTCTGTTGGGCATGTTTGAGGCTGTCATTACGCCAGCTTTCATGCTTGTAACTAGCATGTGGTACACTCGAAAGGAGGCACCTGTGCGAGCCGGAGCATTTTACTGCTTCAATGGCATCGGTTCCATGGTCGGTGGCATCTTGTTCTACGGCGTTGGCCAGGCCGATGGGTGGGATGTCTGGAGAATCATCTTCATCATTTGCGGTGGTATGACCGTCATCTGGGGCGTTGTCCTGTTCTTCTTCCTCCCCAACAACATTCTCACCGCCAAGCGCTACACGGTGGAGCAAAAGGCTCTGCTGATTGCTCGGAGCCAGAGCAACAAAACCGGTGTCTTCAGCAGCAAGATCAAGCCGGCACAGATCAAGGAGGCCTTCAAGGATATCCAGATCTGGTTGTTGTTCTTCTACACACTACTCAACGAAATTGTCAACGGAGGTATTGCCAACTTCGGAAAACTGATCGTCAAGGGCTTTACCAAGGATGCTCTCTTGACTACTGCCTATGGTATTCCTTATGGTGCTTGGGTCGCCTTCTTCATTTTCACCGGACCTTTCTGTGCATCGAAGTTCAAGAATTTCCGCACAATTGTCATGATGACCTGGGTATTGCCCACACTCATTGCTGTTTCCCTCTTCTTGAAGCTGGACAGAGGCAACAAGAACGGCCTGTTGATGGCCTACTACATCGTAAGTTAATCAAGGATTATAATATGAAACTATTGGCTAAGCCTTTGAAACAGAGCCCTTCCTTCGTCGGCGCCCTCGTCGTTGCCCTGCAGATGCCGGCTGCTAACGTTGCAGGATACACGAAGCGTGTCACATCCACTGCTTTCGTCTTTCTGGCATACTGTGTAGGAAACATCATCGGACCCCAGGCCTTCCTTGCGTCAGAAGCCCCTATCTACGGCACTGGCTGCAAGGTTATCATGGGGTGCACTGCCGGTCAGGTCATTATTGCTATTGCGATTCGCATCCTGTTGAAGCGTCGCAACGCAAAGCGAGATGCCGAGGCGGCGGCCAGTGGACATGATGCCGCGGAGGAGGATGACGAGGTCTTGATGGATTTGACGGACTTCGAGAACAGGAAGTTCAGGTACTCCTACTAGAGATCTGACAACATGAGTTTGATAGCAAGCGACTTTGATACTTGATAATAACCAATGCCGTGGGCATGCAACCATTCCAACATTGCATCAATTTCAGCGTTTGAGTGTTCACTCAGGGGCACTGCTGCGACTGAATGATGCCCGACTTCGCAAGAGAGTCCCGACTATATCGTATACGAAATTAACAAAAAGACTCGCATTCAGCTCAGATTGACATGAGCCACTATGCTCAACAACATGTAGCTTAGCCAAGCTTGGTCCAAAATTCACTGATGAGGCCCGCAACTTCCGGGACTCTTTCTCTAACTACACCGTGTCCAACCTGGGGAACAACAGAAACGTTCGTGAACCCAAGCTCAGTAAGCTGGCTTTCGCTGCACAGATCATCCAGTCCGCCCAAGACTGCAAGCGTAGGGATATTCGTCTCGACCGCTTTGGCAAACGCAGCGTCGTTGTCCAAGACATGGCCGTCTCTGAAGATCGCGATTACAGAAGCGGTATGACCGGGATGCTCACGCATTTGCCACTCTCTCACTGCCTCAGCAACAACTTCTCCCTTGGCCACCCTGTCCTTCCAGTCTGCAGGTACAACCAACTCGCCACCTTCGAGAAATCCCAGCACAAATTCCCGAGCGCCAGCCTCATCGGTATTATCCTCGCTCAAATATTGCTGTTCCTCTGCTGTGAAGTTGGCAGCATGAAGGAGACCAGCCGGCGCAACGAGAGTGAAACTTTGCACTCGTGTCGCTCTTGATGCAGTATAGCCAGCCGTCAATGAGGCGCCGAAGGAGAAGCCCACAATGTGTGCGGAGGGCCAACCCAGATGATCCAGCAGATCATCAATAAGCTGGTGAAACAGGCTCGCTTCATGCGGAACAACAGGTGTGTCGCTCAGTCCGTGACCCCAGAGGTCAACCAGTACGAAATGCGAACGCGGGAACGATCCATGAAGGCTGCGGGCGAGCGGAAGCATGCCAAGGGCCGGAGTTTGCACGCCGTGAATGAATAGGACTCGCTCGGGCGTAGATGAGCCCTCGCTATCTGATGAAGGAGGCATCTCATAGTAGGCGGCTTTACCAGTGGCAGTCTTCAAGAACTTTCCCGGTGGTAGGAGCGCACCGAAAGTCTCCGTAAAGGCCGACTCAGAGGGACCCTGTATCGGGGCTTTCGAGGTGGCGGTCGCCCCACCTGGGCGAGGAAGAACGAGAAATTCGGAGCTGTTGGACATGTTGAGTTGGGGATGTGTGATGAATGGTAATTGTGGCTCCAGTCGTGATGCGGCTTTTCTGGTGTTGAAAACAAAGGCTCTGGATGTCAGCGCTAGGGCGTAGAGGTGGAGACGCTGAGACTCTTATCGGCGGGATCCACACCTTCACTGAGGTAAGGTACGCATTGAAGCATCCTTGACAAAGGCATACTTTCCCTTAAGTAGCACCGTCTGAAGCTAGAAGCAATTCAATACGCAAAGAAAGAGTACAACCTCAGACTGTCTAAGAGAAAGAAGCTGCCCATCCCTTCAATACTGGGAACGCATCGGAAGGAGACCCGGACAAGGAAAGGCGGAGATGTGGGGCCGACTAATTGAGTGCCGGGAGAATTAAACACTACACGTCGTCGAAGCAAACAAATTTGAAGGCAACCACTATGATTGGACATTATATACATCGAAGAAGAATCAGGTGGTGGGCCGCGGAGTCTCTGGAGCGGCGATCATGACCTCGATGCAGTACGAGTGGCCATCTTTCCAGCCCCCACAGCTGTTGACCGAGGGGTTCTACACACGTTCTGGGTCAGAGGATATTTTGGCCGTGGTCAGCCGGCTTGACGCACCCATTTGGCAAAGTCTGCCATTGTCAGCCCACTCCACTAGACCGCAAACTCGCAGGGAAGTCCTTCGTCTGCATCCCACCACCAGCTGCAGTTTGGGTCGGTGTTGGGATCGAATATCAGTCTCGGGCTCGGGCTGCTGCCTCGCCGCTGGAGGGGGAAGCTGGCTGAGCTCCCGAGAGTACCGAGGACGCCAGTAACGACGCTGAGAATGAAAAATCGGTTGGATATTTTGTGGAAAGAATGATGCGGTTTACAGACAACGAATGAGAGACAAAGGTGAGAGCTGTGTCTTGTCTGATCAATACTTCATTGAAGGACGAGCACTGAAAACATCCCCTTTATGAGACTTCAGTGCTTTTATTTGGCGTCATGACAAACCCATCACATTTTCGCTCTTATTGATGCGAGGTTCAAAAATTCTTTTCAACCAACATTGCCAGTAGCCTCTTCTTCCGACACCTCGGGCTCAATTATCGCAACACCCAATACCTGCAGAGTAGTAACATGCGGAGGCCAGAGCAATGCAGAAGCGAAATTAGACTTGAATATAAGGTGCCCCAGACTAGGCCTGGTCAGGAAGACAGCCTGGGGTAGCGGGGCCAGCCAAGAATTGGTGGTCAGTCACACTCGTCACCAAGGGTCTCGTGAAAACTTATCCTTCAAGGGGCGGACTTTTACTTCCAACAGACTTATTCGATGCATGAGATTAACGTGACATTTTGATCACATCGGCAAGAAGTAGTGCGATGCAAGATCCGTGACCAGGTATCAATGTATATGCCAGTCTTGGGTTCGCTTGTCTTCCAACCGGGCGACATTTCCCCTGTGAGTTTCAATCGCAACCGATTTACCCGCCGCCAAATTGAAGCAATCATGGTTACGTGGGTCGCCTTCTTTGCCGCAGGTAGGTATAATTACACAACTGTCGGCTTTCAGTTGGCCACGGCCACACTTAACCCCAAATTCTCACAGCTTCCCATCAAGGTCTCCTGCAAGGCCGAGACGGGTTCGAATCGACCAGCAATGCGCCTGATTCACCCCAAATACGTCGTCTCAGCTCTGATTTTGCTGTCGCGTCTCCTGGCCATTTGCGCCGCTTCGCCAGCTGATGTCGAGGTCGACTTAGTGTTCCCGGTGGCCAACGAGACGTACAAGCACATTTGGCCTTTTCCGATCATCTTCGCAGTCAGAAATGCCTCGCAGCTGTGGCAGGAGAATGACGAGATCGCGCTCTTTGTAATTCATTGGACCATCGACGGATACCCAGACGAAACTGACTTTAGAAACAGCGGACGGCATTTTGGAACAGAGAAGTGGGAGAACCTCGCGAAGCCTTGTCCTCACCCAGAAGACGGCGTTCATATGGTCTTCGGAAGCCCCAACAGCAAAATGATCAACGGCACGGAGAGGGTTTTCTTACTGGATTACACTACAGTGTTGATTAACCCCTGCCCTCCAAACAGTTCCGTGCGTCCGAGGCCAGTCTATGCCTCGGAGCAGATCACATTTTATTTGGACCTCGAATCGACTCGGCTGCCCGATTTCGCCCACATGGCGTCTTCCTGCCCCGTTCTCATCACCAACTTCGAGTTCGACGGCCTTAGAAACTCCTTAGGGGAGCGGTGCATGAAAATGGCTCCCACACGCGAGGCGGATCCTTGCGGGCTGCAGCAGAACGAAGAAGACATGGAGAACCGCACCAGGACGGCTATGCTTGAGTTCGCAGGCTGTCCAAAGGGGACGTGGCCTGACCCGGAAGACATGCTGGGCCCTCAGTTCTGCAATGCCCCTAAAAGCTCGGCTAGTGGTAGGGACCTCAGTGGAAAAGTGTTGGTCTTGTCAGTTTTTGCGTGGATCCTTGCAATAGGGAGCATGTGATAGCTATGGGATCGCAGGCCTAAGTTATTACCCTTGGTAGCGCTCAGGGAGAAGGTTGCGCAGCCAAGCAGGACCCTTCTTCAAACTTCGGGCGCTGCAGCGTGCATTTATTGGCAAACTTCATGCCAAATGGTTGCAGTGCATGGTTAGAGCCAGCCCTCCCAGTGATGACGACAGCATCGAACCAAATTGACTGTCTATGTTTGACGACGGCAGTGAATTCATAACGAGAGGAGCACAATGATTACCATGGGCCACAATGGACCACCATCTCGCCACTCACTTCACCACTGAGAGCCAAACAACCTTTATTGCTAACTGTAGGCTTCAAGATCCTGAGCGAAATGAATTCAGTTCTGGTAGTCAATTTGGTTCTCGGACATGAGTATGAGCTACAACTGATGCTGTAACTTCAAGGTCGAAGGCCTACCTGTTAAGTCCACATCATGGAAGACGTCTTTGAAAGCTAAGCTACATGTATGTTATGTCACGATGTCATGTCCACTTCCAAGATCCGATTCAATTCAGTGGAGTCTTTGTTATGTTGTGCAAAATACCGCTATGGTACAACAGAGGATGGGCAAGAACGCTCTGGGCAGGCCGAGAGCCAATCAAGTGGCAACAGGCTGAACCGAATTTGTTCTGAGAATTTCACTCCAAGTTCACAATGAATGCTCCTCTCAGATCGAAATCTTAGGTCCTGTTTAGCGGGGAATCGGCGCAACATGGAGAAATCACGTATAATCAGCCCGACTCGGACAACGTGGACGTGGACTTCGGACTCTCGTGTTGGTTTCTGTTCGTGTTTTCATCTTCAAAGTGGAAACAGAGGTGACTCTTAATTTTCATTTTCATATCCACCAGAATGAATCATGCGCCCCGGACTTACGGGTTTATCTGCAAGCTAATCCCACCGAGGGAGTACGTGCTTCAGAGCAACCCCACAACACTCAATGAGAGCATGGATTTGGTCTGAGGCATCAAAAGGATCACAGCAGTTACAAAATATAGTTCAGTAATCATGAAAAACATGGCGTCGCGAGCTGGTCTTGAAACATGCACTGAAAGTAGACATCCGACCGACTTACTAATATGGACCCGAAAACTAATTCCGCCGAGATATATGTTGTCCATCTTCAATACCTTAAATGTCCAATGATCCGGGCACGAGTTCCGAGAGTCTGATTCACTTATATAAACTTGGCTCGCACATTGAACCAATCACACAAATTTCCAACACGACATTACCAGACGCTTTCTCGGCATTTACTACTTTCCATCTTTGAAAATGACTTCCTTGGTCCCCAAAACCGACTCCTCTACTAAAACCGACGACTCTGCACTTCACGATGGCGGGGACACCATACACTGCAACGATCTCAGATGGCTGCCTCTAGCGCCCAAGGTCTGGATCAAGCTAGTGACTCCCGAAACAGGCTCTTATACTGTTATCGTCCGCGCGGAGAAGGGAGGAGTTCTTCCTCGGCATCGACACATCGAAAGCGCGGAGATCTATGTCATTCGAGGCGACGGCAAGCACCCTCAAACGGGACATTTCGCACAGGGAGACTATGTATCTGAGAGGAAGGGCGCGGTCCATGACCCGCTTGTGTTCGAGGATGAGGTGGAGATGTTGATGATGAGCAATGGCCCCTCGGCTTTCATTGATGATGAGGGTCGTGAATTGTTTTTGATGGATGTTTCCATGCTTCAACACCTGGCAGATTCGACTTCCGAAGAGTCGTAATTGGGTGGAGACTTGAACATGTCGTGAACGAGTCTTCGATTGGCAGTGGAACTCAGCCTGGACGTTTAGGTAAGAGCTTCTTCTAAGCATGTAGTTGAACGCGACTGAACACCAGCTGGAACAGGAAAGCGGGCGTCTGGTATGTGCTGATGACAATGGGAATACAACTCTAAGTCTATTTTCGGAAGCATGGCGGGCCAAGGCACCCATGTCTGACGTCTATGATTGAGAAAAAGTCCCAAAACTCCAAATAGTCTATCGCTAGATCGCTGAATGCAAGGTAACGCTCATCATCTAAAGCTTCGAAATTCCAAATCCATCTCTCTTTGAGCGTCCGAGCAATCCTCTGTTGAGCTCCTTCAGGCTGGCGGTGCCCATCAACGCCATGGTTCTATGAAGCTCTCGCTCAAGGATGTGGAGCACTCCCTCAACACCCTTCTGACCGTCCCATGCCAAGCCCCAAAGAGCAGTGCGTCCGATGAGACATAGATCAGCGCCAAGAGCCAGCGCCTTGAAGACGTCGCTTCCTCGAGTGATGCCTCCATCGAAGATGACGGGTATCCTGCCCCTCACCGCATCAACAACCTCGGGTAGTGCCTCAAGGGTCGCCGGGACGTCATCCAGCTGGCGACCACCGTGGTTCGAAACGACAACTCCATCGCAACCAGCCTCCACGGCCCGTTGAGCATCCTCAGCCGTGATGATGCCCTTGACAAGAATCTTCATCTTCGTTTGCGACTTGAGCCAAGGGATGACCTCGTTCCATTCCAGACTGGCATCGACAAGCGAGCCGTGGTATTCCTCCACGATCTTGTTGTACTCGGCCGCCGTCTCCGCGCGCAGGAGCATGTTGGCTCTGGAAATGGCGCCGACCTTCCGCGACTCCATGTTCGCCATTGACAGACCAGCCGGGAGGGTCAAGGGCGTCTTGCGCTCCTGCAGACGGTTTCCGAGGACGACGGTGTCGACGGTGAGGACAAGCGCTTCGTAGCCAGCGTTTTCGGCACGCTTGATCAGGCCTGAGGTGAGCTCACGGTTGCCGAGGAAGTAGAGCTGGAACCACGGCTTCGGGTACTCGGGGCCGCGGTCGGGGAGAACTTTCGCGACATCTTCGAGAGAGGTAGTGGCGTTGCTGGAGAGAGTGAGGTTGGTTCCGAGATTTGAGGCGGCGCGGGCGACGTCGAGCTCGCCTTCGCCGCCAACGAGTCGTTGGTATGCGCTCGGCGCGATCGCGATCGGGATGTCGTAGCGTTTGCCGAAGATCGTTGTTGAGGTATCGATTTTAGAGACATTTCGGAGTGTTTGGGGACGGAGGAGGAGCCTGCAAGACAGATCAGTCAATTGAATGAGACGGAGTGAGGAGATATTCTTACTCTCTGTACACAGCTTGATTGCGCTCACGGGTGTGCTCGTCGTCGGCGCCGGTGGTGTAGTAATCCCATACTGGCTTTGGCAGACGCGCCTTGGCGATCTCGTACGCGTCGGCGACGGTCACTACCTTCGGAGGAACTTCTTTGATAGTCATGTTGAATAGGTTGTGGTGAAAGAAAGTGAGTGGTAAATTAAAATCGGGTGGATTGTGGCGGAGACCTAGTATTTGTTTATCGGGCCAGGGGTAAGCACTTGTTGTAAGCACTGGCACAATTGACGATGTTGGTTCCCACGATGTTCCGAAATTCGGCGTCGCGAGATACGGGCCACCCTGACTTCTATGGCATCATCATCGTGAACGAGCGGACCTCCGACTCGCCGGGCCGTGTCAGCTCGGCGGTTCGGTGTCAACGTTGCCGATGTCGGAGCCGTGCACCTTTTTTGGTCGGCGCCTCTCGGTGTGTACCGTGGTACGCCGTACATAATCGCCGGTAATTACTCAAACAGGCATTCCCATCATTTCCTCCCGCGTCCAGTATTTCCTCATATTCTCCGCGCCCAGCATTTCGACTTCCAGGTCCAGATGCAGTAAAAGGACATGGCCCCAAGGCTCCATTTTGCTCCTCAGTATCGCAAGGTCCAGCTTGGTTTTGCGCGATCGACATTTTTCTAGATATTGCTGCAAGTCTTCGAGGCCATGATGTATCTCCCGGTGCTGTTCCAGCAGATGTGCATTGTCACCCCTAAATTCAGGCATCTTCTGCGCCAGCATTGGAAATAGAGATCTCTCTTCGATATTGTGGTGGTTCGTCAGACGGTAACAGAAAAACAGACCTTCCCTGACAATCTGTTCATCCGTCAATTTTGGCGCGCCGTCGACAGGGGGTGTTGTGGAATCTTGAAGACGCTTCCAGGTTCGACGAAAGTGGTTGTGCTGTACAGAAACTACGTCAGAATTACTTGAGAGGTCGCTGAAGACCAGGGATCGCTGAAATCAGCCTCCCCAACAAAAGAACTCACGAAGGTCTGCATCATATTGGACAAACGGTTGTAAATGTCGAACTCCGATGGCTCCAGTGGCTCGTTAGTGGGCTCCATTTCTCCAGAGTCAGTGCGTGTTGCGGTGAGTGCTCCCACGGGGCCCCGTGATTCTGGTGTAAGCTGTCGATGGGGTTGGGTTCAAGAGAGTGCGAACCCTAGGTTGAGTCTGAACTGGCAATCGCTTGCTTATGATACTGGCAACAGATACATCGGTTCTCGTTGCATTTTCTCGCCTGAAGAGGTTGTGACGTCTCTTGCTCAATCATGAATGCTTTCAAAGAACAAGTCAGTCGTAGGAAGAGGTGCTAGGGTGAAGTAATCCATGGATGTGGCTGGAGTATCCCCGCAACGGGGCTTTTTGCTGGGTAATCAGCGCCAATTGGTGGGTAATCAAGTCCCTAGAACATTTCTAATACACTCCACTGTTACCAAGCACCATCCAGACGGCATTCTTATTATCAACATCTCAGCATGCAAAACTGGCTGATATTCAATCGTCAAATACACAGTATGGTAAAAGCGGCATGACTCAAAGGATTTGATGTCTTACTCCATCCTGTAAATTTTCGTCGATTAGCTAGCTACTGGCACAGCTAGGGCTGTCTAGTTGGACCCAGCGAGCACACTATCGAATGCTCACAACCAAGTAAGTATTGTTCGTTCGCGAACTTGAGATAGATGCCGCAAAAGTATTCGCTTACGATACAAAATCTAGAATTTACTGTTCGTTCCAAAATATCAGCTGTTCAAGTGAAAGACATAATTCCACGAATTTTCGCCAATGATTTAGGATAATACTACTCAAATTACCAAACATAAAACAAAACACATCTATGCCCTCTATTTCCTTACACTGCCTTTAAGCTACACTAATAATCACAAAAGAAAGTGAGTTATAAGCCGTCTTTGATTTTTTCAGGGTCGGGCTCGAGAATGAATAAGGTACTGAACGCATGCTCATTCCGCTTGGGGGTCCTGGACAGACAGGTCAATCTCTTCCTTGCGTCTGCGTACGGAGACCTTGACGGTAGAGTCCGATTCACAAGTGAACCCATACTCCATGTACTTTGGCGTCTGATTCTCCGCAAACTCAAAGTCGTACTTGAGGAGAAAATGAGCCAGAATAACCTTGGCTTCGTTTCCGGCAAAGAAGCGGCCGGGGCAAGAGTGCATGCCGTGTCCGAAGCCCATGTGGCTTGTGCTGGTGCTCACGAGCTGGCTCACGGCATCGTTGGGGCCACCGCGCTCCTTGAAGTATCTGTAGCCGTCAAAGTCGAGGGGGTTGGAGTAGACCTTGGGATCCCACATGCGTTCAGCGGAGACGACGATGGAAGCTCCGCGGGCGAGGAAAGTTCCGTCGGGAAGCTGGATGTCTTCGACTGTCTTCCGATTCATTCCCACTGTTCAAAGTAAGTCAATTGTCTTCCAACATACAGATTTGTGATTTTTTGATGTTAGGAGACTTACCGATCTGGTTGGGCTTTAGACGCTGGCTCTCCTTCAGAACGCTGTCCATCAACTTCATGTTGTGAAGAGAAGTCTTCTTCCAGCCTCCTTCGCCAATGACGCGAATAACCTCTTCTCTCAGTGGCTGAATCAGCTCAGGGTGCTGCAAAATGTCGTACATCGCTTGACAAACGAGATCGGCAGTGGTGTGCACGGCAACGCTGGCCAGCATGAGCTGACCAACGGCCGGATTGTACTTCTGTCCCTTAGCCATCTCCTCAAACCATGTAATACCATCCAGGTACTCGACGGACGGTGATTCCTCCTTGCGTCTCTTGATCTCAGCAAAGACGTGCTTCTCGGCGTCTCTGATGTATGCACGGAGGAGTCGAGTTCTGGGGAGAAACCAGGCGACAATAGGTCGGAGAAATTCAGGCCACTTGCGCATATCCTGCATGGCAAAGACGCTCGTCTCGACGTAGTTGATGACAGTGTGAAGCCATTCGTCGTTTCTGCCAAGGCGCTCACCAACGAAGATGCGACCAGAGAGTCTAGAGACGACATCAAGGACGACTTCCTTGAGAACCAGATCGTGGGGGTCTGGAAAGATTGGTCAGGGCATCTGCAGCCAGGAGCGCAGTGGACGCTTAAACTTACCTTTCGAGTCGGTGAGAGTGTTCTTGATAACCATGTCCGCTTCCTGTGAGAGAATACTGGTGATTTTACCTGTTGCAAAAGTCATGTATTAGTCTCACTCCAGTCTCCATCACAGTATTTGAATTACAGGGAGAGGAAGTACCCAGGGTCTTTGTTAGCCTTAGCTTAACTACATTCTGAAGTCTCTCAGCCGGGTCGCAGGCTTCCTTGTAAGGCTCAAAGCCAGAGTAATGAGCTTGGAAGTCCTACAAATCCCGTGTAAGCTAGTAGTCACAAAGTGTGAGGAGTGGGGTTCAAATCGACTTACGTCGGCAAGACCTTGTGTGAAACTGAAGCGCTTGTCGTTGCGGATCTCCTGGCCAACATCGGGAGGTAGAATGATAACATCGCCAACGTCACCCAACACGCGAAAAGGTTTTCCCAGCAGACTATTGGCTGAAAGATACATCAAGTTCCGAGCATTGAGGATGATCTCCTGCGCAGCTCTAGCCGAAGACCATTCAAAAGGCTTCTTGGGGTTGAGGTACGGAAGCTTGGTCGTACGGTCCCTCATAAGAAACAGGGACAAAATGGCGACAGTCGCGCATGATGCCACCACGTACCACGAGGACGTGGAAGGGTCCTGGCGGTCGGTGACTGCGTTGTCGAAAGATGTCGTGTTAAAGACGTCCATGCTGAAATCAGGTGGATTCGCGGTGGAGAGAAGCTGACTTTGTAATCTGAATGATTGGAATATTCGTCTGTTGATTCAAACTTCCAACGGGAATTTTCACATATACTCGTGTTCTTTCGGCGGGCGGCGGACTTTGGTTGTCCGTGGCCCCGCGGTCAGCTCCGTCACCGCCTCACCGGGGCAGTGGTGTTCGGCCGATGTCCACACTGAAACGGCCCAGCAGTCGTGTCAACTGAATAATCCATCCAGCGGCTGTCTGAGGGATGAACCAATGAGCTTGACGCGAATGGTTCAACCGGAGTTTGCGGAGGGCGTCCGCGAGGGGAACCGTTCCATCCCACCGGGCCATCATGCAGATCACCCTTGCTGCCAAGTGCCGGAACCTTAATTGTGACCGTGTATTCGTTCTAGAAATCAATTGCTGCCAAGCTCATTGGGCGAATTGTGTCGGTTTCGTATCAATCTTGAAAGTGGGGGTTCATCTCTTGCCGCCGGCGGGATAGCGTACCCGCGTCGTGATGCTCAAGAGGAGTCGTTCACGTCAGAGCCTTGGCAATGTCCGCTGCGTGGTGAATCCACAGACTCGCAGAATTGGTTCAGATCCAGAAAACTCGAATTTGAAGATCACGGAGTTTTCCTGCATGTACGTCCGCTCACCGAACGCAACGCCAATACATGTATGTATATATCAAGGTTCACGCCAGTGCAAGCCGAGAGCCCATCAGAAATTACCGGGAGAAAGGATTCTATATTATTTGGCCATGTACCAACCACTAGCCTCTGACATGTAGCCGACAAGGTCTATAAACATCAATTTCGAGAGGACCACAACGCCCTTAGATCTTGACCAGATGCATTTGTATCACTGGCCACGTCAGATAGTACGGGTGCATCTTACCCCTCTTCGTACAACTGACGTTCAAATCCAATCAAACATTGGCTGTGTCTTCTTACATGTCAGCAAATAGACAATGTGAGACTATTTACGTGTTTTTAGGAGTCTCCCGAGCAACAATCGGCCTTTGATATGAATATAGTCTCAGCCCTAAGTGCAGCTGAACAGCCACAGGCAAGATTGACGTCAGTGGCTGTGAGCTAGGCATTCGACGACCCCGACCCCGAATGCTCAACACTCAAGCTACCATTCACAACTGCCCTACGGAAATCTGTAGATGTGGTGTGAATTGGTGGGACAGAGATGTTCGGGGCAACATCATAGTCTTACACCTCACTCAACTGGAACTTGTTAACAGCGGTGAGTCACAAACAGCGAAGAAACCGCACCAATCCGAAGTATATCAGAGTTGCAAGTGTATGTTCTACTTCAAGCGAGGAACGCCACAAGTCTGTTGCTAGGCACTGTTCGGCCTCAGATAACGCCGCTTCCCTTCATGCTGACTGGCGATGCCTGCCTTCCCATGCAAGGGGCTCCAGAACGCGGGGTAATTATGCTCCAAAGCCTGCCATTTAACTAGCAGCCTGCAACCTCGATCTCTATTTTCCCTTCGAAATTATCCGCCAACGATCTCTTCATGACTGTTTTCTTCCAGTCCTCCTCTAAGACTCTAATTCCGTTAATCATATTGAGTACGACCACCGTCAGGCCGCCCAACATGGTCACCACAAGAAGCAAGAAAGCGGAGGATGCACAGCAGCAACAGCCGGAGAATGATGCATCTCAGCAACAGCCAAGTCTACGTCTGTATCGAGGCAATTGCCATTGCGGATCCTTCGTTTACGAAGCTGAGTTACCGGAGATCAAGTCGGCGATGGAATGCAACTGTAGCATCTGCCACAAGAAAGGGTACCTCTGGGTCTTTCCCACAGAAGGCAGCAAGTTCGATATTGTCAAAGGCGACAAGGACGCTCTTTCGAAATACACCTTCGGCGCGAAGAAGCTTGCTCACAAGGTACAGATTGGCGACGAATGTAAGAAGACAACACACACTGACATTGATTTTGCAGTTCTGTCCCATTTGTGCCACGCCTGTTATGGGGGAGTTCATTGGAGGGAACGGGAGAGCCTTCAACGTGAGTGATATTTTCGTCTTGACACTGCATCTGTGCACGATGAAGTACTGACCCAGGTTTTGTCTGCAGATTCGTACGATTCAAGGCATCGACGTGTTTGAGTTGGAGAAGCAACCGTGAGCCTTTCTCATGAAGCAAATGTCTTGGGAAGATATGTTCTAGGATGACTCCATTTGGCTGATCAGCTTCTTTCTAGGTATGATGGTGCCGCCCTCGGAGACAAATATGAATCTCCTGAGCACAGCGGGCCGCTGCCTCCTGCCATCGACGGCAGCAAGCTCTACACTGGCTCTTGTCATTGCGGCGCAGTTACCCTAGCTTTCATGAGTGAGCCGCTGGATGGAACAAATGACAACGAAACAGCCGAGTGCAACTGCAGTATTTGTGTGAGAGTCAGTCAAAGGTTTTCTTTGGCGGTGTTAGTTTGGACGCTGACGGAAACCCAACAGAATGCCTACCGATGGATCTACCCGAAGAAGGAACGAGTAGTCCTCCACGCCAGCGAACCCTCCAACATCGGCCGATACAGCTTCTCGCGTCACGTCCTCAACAAGACATTCTGCAAGATATGCGGTGTGTGCATGACTAACGAGTACAAACATCTCTCCGATGAGGAGCGAAAGGCTGTCGGAGCAGTGCCAGCCGATGGATTTGGCGAGCGCATAAAGGCTGGACACCCGGTGAATCTACGTGTCCTGCCCGACGTGGACTTGAAGAAGATGAAGCCCCCAGTCTTGAAGGATGGTGCCAACAAGATCTCGCCGCCTTACAAGAACCCTTAGGTGCGAGACTTGGCATTCTGATGGCCGAGCTCAGCTCTATATCACGTTCATTTAATCTGTAAAGGCAACAGACGGTCTCAGAGACTTGAGACTCGTCGCATCTGCTAGAAAAGAAAGCAATATTGAATACTTCTAGCAGTATTTCATCGTACTACGACCTGGATCCGCCCCAAGTTGTTTACCCGAGCAAATTGGGAAGATGAGTTTCCTTCACGTTGAGCAGTAATCTTGACTACACACAGATACGTGCCGGCGATATCATAAACAAATGGAACAACCAGGTCAACGATTTCGTTAGGTTCGCCAAATGGCATGCTTTCGAACGTCTTGCCTCCTAGAAAATCCCACTCAACAGCGACGATTTTGCCAGCCCCAACAGGTGCTACCGCCCGCATAATGAAATTTACCTCGGTACCCCTTTGAATGTTTCCAATAAGCGACGAATTCATGGAAAGCTCGACAATGGGCTGGATACCATGCCGCTCGTCCGCTTCGCCAGAAGGAATAACCTGGCTATTCTGAACTTGATAACTCGTCGATGCTGGTGGTTGAATACCGTCCTCAACCCAGGCACAAAGACTGCGCATCGCATGCTCGTACATCCCAGTGTAGTCTACAATGAAGTCTTTCAGATTCTCCGCGACAGGCTCGAAGAAGTGATCGGCGCGCTCATTGTACCACAGCCTGAAGTTGTCATCGAATCTGGAACCGAGAGTCCTTTGTACCTGAGACTTGTACCAATCTGCATGCCATGGGAAGGCGTCGCTATCAAGCAGGTTGTCCACTATGATCATCTTCCCAGTGATGTTGCCGCCATAGATGCAACCGCCACATGCGCCCTTGGCTACTTCGGCAGCGGCTTGTACGGCTCGCTGGGGATACACAGGAGCTCCGTCGGGTCCAATGAACTGATCAAATCCGTAGAAACCGGGTCGACTCGGGATTTGATGGCGATGGTACGTGTGCATTGCAATGAACCAGCCGTTATCGACGCGGATTCGCCGATCCTGGATCAGATTGCTCAATAAGATGTCCGGATTGTCCTTGGTCACCATTATGGACTTGGTAGAGGGGTTCCAGGTTCCGGTCAAGGCACCGATCTTGGACGAACAGCCCATACCGAGGAGGGTGAATTCCAGGCCATCAAAATTGACAATATTTTCAGGGACTCCCTCTAGTGTAATGTTGAAAGCAAAGTCGTCATCATCGCTGATTGCAATGACCTCTTGGATTATCGCGGTGACGTTGGCAAAATTGGAATGAAGCACGTCGGATAGAGTGGAATTATCAGTCCCCAGATATCCTGGTTTGCTCCAGTAGTCGTCCGCGTAAGAAGGGTCGAGGTTTTTGACCGAGCTCAACAGAACTTTCAGCATTCGGCTGCTCGCGAGGCCGCTGAAGTGTTCCCAGGCTTCTATCGGAACGCCCGAAAGCGTCGCCTCCATGAACACAGATGCTTCGGTCTCGCTGAGATTCGGCATGGCCTTTTCCACATCTCCGCTCCTAATTGACTCAATGATATGTGATGACTTGTTCCTAAGCACTGCCGAGGCCAAGTTGCGTACCGCATGGTTCAACGGAATAGAGACTGGCGTCGCCACCACAATGGGTACCGCTCCGTCCCAGACACCAGCAGTGTTCTCCATCGCACCGATCGTCATGTACGAGCCTCCACTGCCGCCATATATGTAACCATAGACATGTTCCGGGACCGAGCGATAGTAGTTGGCCAAGATGGACCAAGAGAATTTCGCCGCGGCGGCGTCGGCACGATATCCCGAAGTGCCAGAGACTTGAATGAGATAGGCACCACTGTCCAAAGCAAAGCCAATCCGCCGGTCTATGGCCGTAGAGTTCTGGTCCGGGTAGACGTAGCTGAAGAAACGACCCTGCCACCGTGTCTCCGGGGGAAGGTAAAAGTTGAAATCGACGTCGGTGCCTTCGAAATGTCCAGAGATCCGCCGATGGGGAGAGGGTAGGGTCATGTTCTCGTCTATGTCAATGACCGCCGTAGAGTACATCGGATCGAAGCAGTTTTGGGTAACCAAGTATGGTCCGGTGGTATTCGCTCCGATGCACTCTGCTCTGTTTGGGTGGGGAGACTGTGCGGTGACGGCGACGAACAGAACGGGCCTGGAAGATCTTGTCAGTTATCGTATTCCATCTGCTTTTCTATGGAAGAGGCGCGTCAGACGTGGCAGGAAGGTTGATTTACCAGAAAAGCATCAATGCATGGTCGACCGAGTTTCTGACAGCAGAGCGCCGGAACTTCATGGTTGCGTGAACGGATAGAAACTTCACAGCCGTCCTTTCTCGAGAGGCAACAGACTTGATACATAATGAGCTTCTAAACTGGCGAGAGGTCTTGATTTAAGGTTTTATATACACAAGCCTTTCGCCAAGCATACCCGCAAGGGGTGGAGAGGTACTACGTAGACTTTCTTTTGAGGACGAAGCAGATCGTCATCTCAACAATGTCTGCTGTCCGATTGAGTGATGCATTAATTTGATTTCTCGTATCTCAGTATTTCGTCTTTGTGGAACGATGTGCGCCGTTGCTTGTGTCACTCGGAACGGTTGGGTCCATTTCTCGCATTGGATACGAAAAAGGGATGAAGGAGCCCGCTTCGAACGCGAATCCAAGGCCGTTTGGGAGACACTCTCTTTCTGAAAATGAGGTTATTACGATCCGGTAATGATCCAGTGGATCTTGGCCAGCATACCTACCTATACAGCATCAAGTAATGATCTCAATGAATGGGATGTGTTGCTACCTTTCTTCCCTTCTAACCTTTTCTTCGCAGTGTTGACAAGCCAACGTCTCGATAGCCTTACTGAGGAGAGCTTCTCTTTCCGAATAGGGGGTTTAATTCAAAAACAACACTTCGTCCCATTAGATGTATCGGGTTTCAATAAATGATGTATGTCAACTTTTAATCTGCAAATTCCATGATCAATTGCTCGTACTACTAGTATACATTTAAATCGTAACGTGAAACGCTTCAAGGTAACTCAAAGAATCCTCGTCTTACAACATCACCAGTTCCGATCGGTTGGCAATTCATGTCTCGCATCTCTCTCATCTGAGCTACCAAGCTCATAACGAACATGACTCTGCCCATGGACCTCGTGCAGCGACTTCTCGCTCTGGCCAGCCAGCGCCTGCTTCCTTTTTCGTATCTGCTTCCAGACCATCCATCCCACCAGACAGCCCACGGCGAGAGTCCCTAGCGTCGCTCCAATCGCGATACCTGCTATAGTCCCACCAGACAGCCCCTTTCCCTCGTCTTTAAGGGGAGCCGGTGTCGAGGCCGACGCCGATGTCGAAGACGCGGTCGGCGACTTAATCGCAGGGGATGACGTAGTTGTTGCTGAGACGGCAGCCTCAGTAATGTTGAAGTAATGGGATGTTGTACCGCCGCCGGTGGTCCCAGCTAGTAGCATTCGGAAAATCTAGACGGGGCTCAGCGTCGGGTCGTACCAGTCGGGGAATGCTAGACTGTCAAGACTGACGTTCCACCGATAGCCTCCGGCGCTCGTTGCGTCTGCAGCCAAGTCTCTTATCAGCATTGCGCAGGCCAGGCATCAGAGGTCAATGATTCAGGGTAACGAGGTGAACTCACTCAGAAGATAGACGGATGGATCTCTCTCAGGTGATGACTGGGTCAGGATCAAGTCGATCACATCATACTCCTTCTGCCATGATAGATCGACCTCTTGCCCCAAGGAATAGACGGGATTATGCGTGTAATCACCCGCGGCACCGGGGCCTGGGGGCCGGAGGAAGGCGCTCATCACGTCGAACAGTCCAACGATGCAAATAGGAAAGATGGGGTATGAAACAATCAATGAATGCAAAAGCACCTCTCAATTATTATAAAACAGCTGAGGGCTGCGATGGAATTCAGCAGAGTAAAGGGGGCCACTATCGAGCGAAGAAGGAGAAAGTAGGGAAGGGGTAGGAATTATGAATTTCTGAACTTTGAAACTTTTTGCCAGGCTCAGCCTCGATTGTGTACGGACGATCTTGTCTTTGAGCGAGCATGAACTTTCTAGATCAACTTTCATGCACCGCCGATCAGCAGCAATCAGGCTGCGTTGAGATCGGCGACTATTGACAACCAAGCTACGGCTGACCAGGCTGCATCAAGCAGGCTCTGTGACCACACGACTGCCTTCCAATCCTGGCGCTCTAATCCCGCAAATCCGAGTTAGACATGTCGATTTATAAGCTCACGAGTGTGGGGGCCGTATATCTGCCTGGCTTCTGTCAGACCAGCTGGTTGCGTTGTATTTGGCGATCATCCAGAGCGGGTTGACTTTGCCTCCGCTTTGTGCACATTTGTCCTTGGAACCTTCCCTGTTTCATTACACCCTCTTGACATTACAATTAATGATTAGACAAATACTGATGCACCCGTTCGTGTTTCCAAGAAGTGGTGGGAGCACGTCCATATGTTATCGCTAACTGGTCATTGCACCTATCTCTCTAGACAGACATTATTCTGACCCCTGAATAAGTCCTAAAGTGCAATTCGAGTGACGTGATGAGTCCTCAATCGCAGTGCCTTGCACGCTTTCCGACTCTGACGAATCACCTCAGTCTGTCCTGGGCTCAGGTGGGCGTAGCGTTTCAGACTGTTGGTGGCTTGACCATATATTTCCAAACTGCCTCACTACGGCTCATAAATCCTACCATTTTGCATTTGTGCAGCTTCGCTACTCTTCCCCTCACCAGGCACACTGCTTTGGACAAATCTTTTGAAGACATACTTCCGTGAACTCACAAATCTCCTTGTTAGTCATGCTAAAAAGATCTTGGCGTGGTACTTTAGGAACTTTAAGTCTCCTGGTCTCGTATCATAGCGACGTTAGTTCTAAGGAACCAGCCCTAGGGAGTGAAACGTGGTGACCGGGCAGATACACTAGCTACATCTCTACAGCCCAACCAATCGGGGCGCTGGCCGGCGTGGTTACCAGCGCAGAACAGGGGATACCATGGGAGTTGTTGTTGCCAAAGCTGTTGCTATGTGGTGCAATTGGTTATCAGCTTAGATCTCTGGTCTGCCGTCGCCATTGCTTTCGTCTGCACTTGGTGAGGTAGTTAGCTCCAATATGTAAGTAGTAGATTAGTGAACTAGTGGGCGGCTTTGTTGGCATCGACGCTGGTCGTATTTTCTTTTGGACAGGTCGCAACCCAAGGGAAGGCACTCGTTCCCGTCCTCCGTCGAGGCCACATTGTTATGCCCGTCATTTGACCCTGCTCACTGGTCCCGCTGCCGACTGTGCCGAGGGACCTTTTAGGACCCTGAGCTGTCCAAGGGCGTGACATGAAGCCTAGGGTGCTGGTCCACCAGTGACAGCCGACAGGAGAGCTTGTCTCAACAGTTATTACCGCTTGAGTAAGAAAAGGGAAATTTTCCACGCGCGTAACCGCACTCTAGCACATCGAGCACCCCAATAAGCGACCTGGCCGGCCTTTTCATATTCTGATTAGGGACCATGGCAGGCCTTTTCATTGGCGTTGTGTCAGATTTGTGTCAGCTGAACATAGCATCGAGTCAGTTCACGGAGCCCCAGTGTTACGATCCCATCGGTTGGGGTGCTGGCCTGCGGAAGTTTATAGTGCAGAACAGGGGATAATGACAACAGAGTTGGTTGCCCTGACCTACCCGTAATACCCAGACAAAACTGTAAAGAGCACCATGTCTATACTGCGGTAATTATGTGATTGCTTCTAAACTGTCCCTCTTGGCATGTCTATTTAAAAAAGTGATACTCGCTCTGTATTTCCTCGCCTTTTAGAAGGTTTCCAGCACATCTACTCACTCTCTACAACTGGCTGATACGCGCTCTCTCTTCCATCTTTCATTCGCCCTCACTAATCTTCAAGTATTGTCGTTGACCGACGTTATTATCCTATTACAAAATGCAATTTTCCATCACTCTGTTCGCCCTCTTCGTAGGCATCGCCGCCGCAAGCCCTACCGTCATCGAACCTCGCCAGAACACAGCGGTAAGCAAGCTATCTCACTACTCTTAGCGCTGTAACTAAAGAGGTGCAGTGTAATCTATGCCGGGAAGAATGCTTTTTCGGGAAAGGAAGCAACGATGTCTACGTGAAGTGTATCAATAGATGCAACACGGACCTTAAATGCACGCTCACACCTTGAAAGCTTCAAGACCTCGAGATATGGATGAGCAAGCTGTACTTGGGATACTTGGTGAGGGCTGGCATATTTGGTGCATAGAGCACGAAATAGAACTGTTTTAGTTCCTTACCTCTTGATATCCTAAGCATGAATAATACCGTCCTTTTTTTTCATTTCCTTTTCTGGGTTGTGAGCTGTGAACCCAGACCTAATAGGCATGTATCGCGACTGAACGTGACAGGGCAATGAGCTGACATCTATCAAACAAAATGCGCGCCAACCTCAATAAGTACGTAATCGCTGTCCGAGACTCTCACCACAGTAGCCGCCCTCCTCGATGCAATGTGCGAAATAGTGTTCTTCGTCATCAATGTTTTTGCGTGGCTTCCTTCCCCATACAAAGATTCGAGGACCGTGTATCGTTTGAGGGGGGGGCGTTGTATTCACCGCCGATTTTCTTCACCTCTGCTCACCCTGATCACTCCAAGCTCATCTCAGACATCACTTTACCTCTGCAAAGCAGCACATTCAGGGTCAGTACCTAGTAGCTTGGAGAGGCGATCGCACCTGAATGACAGAGTGTACTGCGGGTTGCTTTGTCATAGGGCGTTGGATGGCAGTAGTAGGCGCCACTAATGTTGCCGGGGTTTCCTTTCCGCACTGCCGGCTCCATTGCGGCTAGACTATAAAACACCAGCTGGTTACCGTGGCTTCTTTCAGCTCTGTCGTGCTTCCTGAATGATTGAACCATACTAGACCTCATTGATCTTACTGGAAAGGTCGAAATGGCGACAGAAAACACGGATGGCCCTGGCCGCCTCATATCGCATTTCACCTCAAGGTATGGGCCACTCTTCGCAGTGATTTATCCGAAGGGATACCACCATGGCATTAATTCCAAAGCACAGGGCTGATAATTCATCACAGAGACCGTGAGAAGCAGGCATCCGGTTGGTCAGAGCTGTGGGAATCCGACGAGAGCAACCTCTGGGATAGAGGGAAGCCGTCCCCGGCCCTCATCGACCTCATAGAGTCTCGCTCTGAAGTCCTCCCTCGGCCGTCTGCTGACCGTCGTCTGAAGGCGCTTGTCCCCGTGAGTTATTTCACTTGGCTGAACATATCCTACGCTCTTCTAAAATACTTACTGTTCTTCTCTTGACGCATTCAGGGGTGTGGCAAGGGATATGACGTGGTCATGCTCGCGCTCCATGGATACGACGTCTACGGCCTCGAAGTCTCGGAAAGGGGTGCGGGTGTCGCACGCCAGTACGCCGCTGCGGAACTGCCAGAACCGGGAGAGTACAATTTCGGCACACATGACAGCATCTCCGGGGCACAGCCCGGCGAGGTGAAGATCTTGGCAGGTGACTTCTTTAAACGTGACTGGGAGGCGCAATGCGCCAGCAGCAGCGGAGACGACTTCCAGGGATTCGATCTCATATATGACTATACGGTATCTATCCCTGAACTTCGGTCAATTCCATAGAACTACAAGCCGCTAACCCGTCTTTGCAGTTCCTCTGCGCTCTCCTTCCAGAGATGCGGAAAGACTGAGCCCGGCGTATGCAGGAGCTACTCTCGCTCACCGGTGTTCTCGTCTGCCTCGAGTTCCCTCTCTACAAAGACCTCGATATGCCGGGACCGCCTTGGGGTCTTCGCGGAGTATACTGGAACATTCTCGCGCAGGGTGGCGATGGCATTATTCAGGAGCCGGTGGTCGAGGACGCAGAAGACAAAGTCTCAAGGGAGCTTTCCGGCGGGTGGAGTACTTCAAGCCGCCGCGGTCTTACGAGAACGGAAAGGGAACGGATATGGTCAGCGTGTGGACTGAGAAGTTCTAGCTAGAGATAATCGTGGATGGAATGCTCTCGCAATTTTGTTTATGAAATCATTTTCATCGAGTAACAACAGTGCACGGGTAGTATTTTCATGCCAATGAGCAATCATGTTCAGAAGTTATGTTTCCGTAGCATCATATATCCCTTCTACCTTCCATGGTTGAGTAAAAGATAACAGGCTTTAAGTGCTATCTTTGAAATACAGGCGTGAGCGTCAAGCATTCTGTTAACCTGCAGCTAACTCGCGCGAACCCAGCTAGGCTAAGGCTTGAGACCTATACTTAGCGCCTGGTCCAGGGAAACAAGTGAATTACCGCGAAAGAACCCCGAGTCAGCGACGTAATGGCTTCGCCCGTCAAGAGGTGCGCTCGCGTACTTCCACTATGAGCTTCCAACAAAATGACACCTCAAGGGCGCAGGCTGAGGCGGGGACTTAGCATGCTCCAGCATGAAGATCTTGCAAAATTTGAACGGACACGAGCCAGAAGTTCTGTTAACTCGTGACATGTGCCTGACATATTCTTGGAGGGCGTTGACTGACACTTCTCAAGGCGTCGGATGGCATTTCTCAGGGCGTTGAATGACACTTCCGAGTGGGGCCGGCCATGCGGGACCCGCTTTTCCGGCCGGCGTAAGCCGGAACGCGAGACTCGAAGTAAGGTTCACATCACCTTCATGAACTCTCCTGTTTGGGAACATGATCCGGAATGCCAAAAGAAGATCTCAGCAAGTTCACATTTATGATAGCGTAATTTACGATGACATGCCGTTCCGCTCCATACACCCATCATCCACAAACTTGGTAAGATAGTTCCTCACACCATCCGGGAAAATCACCACGACCCGCACATCCTCCCGATTCATCTCCGGCCTCCGCCGCATAAACTTCACCAGCGCAGCCATCGCAGCCCCAGACGACCCGCCACACAGCAGGCCCTCCTCCCTGATCAACCGCCTCGCGTACCCAAACGCCTCAACATCCCCCGTCTTGACCCAGACGTCAGCGGCAGACTGGACCAGCACCCCATGGACGAAGTCGTACCCGATGCCCTCGACCTTGTACTCCCCTTTCTCCGCGTTCAAATGACCAGGCTGCGCGAGCACAGATCCGACGGGGTCCGCGCCGACGATGACCACGCCAGGATTCTGCTGCCGCAGCCCGCGCGCGAGACCGGTGATGGTGCCGCCCGTCCCCGCGCCCGCGACCACGATGTCAACCTTCCCACCGCACTGCGTCCAGATTTCCGGCGCGGTGCCGAGTTCGTGGGCCAGCGGGTTGTTTGGGTTAGTGTACTGGTCGAGGATGTGCGAGTCCGGCGTTGAGGCGTTGAGGCGCCGGGCGACGCTGATGATGGAGTCGGCCGAGGTGATGGGCACGCCCGCGGGAGTCCGCACGATCTGCGCGCCGAGAGATCTGAGGACGAGGACCTTCTCCTCGGGCATCTTCTCTGATATCGTGATGATGCATTTGTACCCCTTGACCGCGGCCATGAGGGCGAGAGCGATGCCGCTGGGGGCGCGTTAGTGATCTTTCTTAGCTGCTGAACGACATGAGGGATGGCAGAGGGCACGTACGTGTTTCCGCTGGTTGCCTCGATCAGGACGTCGCCTGGTTTGAGTCTTCTCTCCTGTTCGGCCCTCTCGACCATCGCCTTGGCGACCCGGTCCTTCACTGAGCCGCCGGCGTTGTGGTACTCCAGCTTGGCCAGGACCTCGGCTTTGATGCCCTCTGACTGGGGAAGAGTATTTAGACGGACCATCGGCGTCTGCCCGATGAGGCGGATGGCCGAGTCTAAGATTGGGGGTAAAGGTAGTTCTGCCATGGCGGGTATAGTTTCCTGGTTGTGAAGTACGTGCTGGTGAACCTAGGTAGGCTTAGGCTTTGTAGAAGAATCAGACAGCAACGCTTTTATGGTCGTACTTTTCGTAGCCCTAACAGTAACATCAGAGTGACTGCGCAAAGACAATAGGGCAAGGCCATTGCCAACCGGAGAGGAGCCCCAAGAACCCCAATTCCGTCAGTGACAGCTCCCACGCCCTGTGTCACAAGCGTCCATCCTTTGGTGCATAAATGGCAAGCGATCGTCTAGAATCATTATGCAGCACGCCTCCAGTTTCTTCTAACCATTAGCCGACCCGCGTGCCACCATGCCCTCTCAACAGCATTCCGAGAAGCAGCTCAGCTTCGGCACCAACGCAGTCCACGCCGGCCTACCTCACGACCCTACAACAGGCGCCCTCTCCGAGCAGGTCCGCCATCCAAACCCCCTTCCCCAATCTCCGCAACACCTCTCGCTGACACTATGCCATCCTCCAGATATGCCTCGCCACAACCTTTGCCCAGCCAGACATCAACCAGCCCGCGAGCAAATACATCTACTCCCGCTCCAACAAACCCAACCGCGAGAGCTTCGAGCAGGCCCTCGCAACGCTCGAGCACGCCAAGCATGCCCTGGCCTTCTCCTCCGGACTGGCAGCAACGGCTGCTGTGATCCACGGCCTCGTCACCCCCGGTGGACACGTCATCTGCAACGCGGACCTGTACGGCGGCACGTACCGTTTCCTTACGAGGCTCGGCGCTGTTGCGGTAGACTTTGCGCCTTCTCTCGAAAGAGACATGGCCACGTTCGTTAGGGATGATACGCAGCTTATATGGATCGAGACGCCGAGCAATCCTACCCTTTCGCTGGTTGATATTCGTGCCGTGACGGAGATTGCTCATGCGCGGGGCATTATGGTGGTCGTGGACAGCACTATGTTGTCGCCGTATCTCCAGAATCCATTGGACCACGGCGCCGATATCGTCCTGCACTCCGTGACGAAGTACATCAACGGGCACAGCGTAAGTCGTCGCCCCCTTTAATGTCTCCTCCCAGATCCTGCTGACCAGCAACCTGGGACGTGCTCATGGGCGCCGTAGCCTTCAACTCCGACGACCTCAAAAAAAAGCTCGCCTTCGTCCAGACAGCAGCCGGGTCCGTCCCGAGCCCCTTTGACTGCTGGTTGGCCCACCGCGGCCTCAAGACTCTGCACCTCAGAGTCCATACCGCCTCAGCCAGCGCGGCGGCTCTCGCGAGTCTCCTCGAGGCGTATCCTCATGTTCTGGCGGTCAACTACCCAGGCCTGCCCTCCCACCCGCGGAGACAGATAGCGCAGAGACAGCACCGGGCTGGTATGGGCGGCGCCATGGTTTCGTTCCGTATCAGGGGCGGCGGAGACGCCGCGGCGCGGTTTTGTAAGGCGACGAAGTACTTCACGCTGGCGGAGAGCTTGGGCGGCGTGGAGAGCCTGTGTGAGATACCGGCGCGCATGACGCACGCGTCCATGCCACGCGAAGAAAGGGAGAGCGTGGGTGTGTATGATGATTTGGTTCGGTTGAGTCTCGGTGTTGAGGATGTGGAGGATCTGAAGGGGGATCTTGAGTTGGCTTTGGCTGAAGCTGTGAAAGATCAGTAGTTTTCGTCAAAGAGGCATTTCACGACTGGAGAAATTAGAAATGGTGATGAAAATTGTTCCTTTACCGAGCACGACTAGTCCACTATGCTGGATTCCTAAATTGTTCCTCGGGAGCCAACAGCTCTGGGTACACAGTAGCCCCAAAGAATGGGTCGTTGATGTTGCAAACTTCAGCAGCTGTAGGCATCTGCATCGATGGCATGCATCCCATCTGCCTGAACTCGGCCAGGCATTCTGGCGTCTGCCACGACCAAGGAACAGCCACCCCATCCCCTGCGACGTCTTGGACCGGAGCACCACAAAAGTCCAGCGGTATAGACGCAGAGCTCGATATAGCTGCATTCTGCATGTTCTCGAATGTAAATGGCGTCATGACTGCTGTGTTCAGGTCGGAAAATGTGTCCAGCGATAAATCAATCGGCCATCCATGAGCAGGATCCAGTTCGCTGGAGCCTGGCAATTTCACATCGCTCGCCAGACCGTAGCCCGCCTTGAATAATCGTAGCCACTCTCCATTGTCGGCAGGAGTCTGGTTCCAGGGGTCATCATCCCCGTACACAATGACCCGCGCTTCCCTCCGGATCGAGTCGTCCGTGATCGGCCTGTTATCCTCCATCGCGGCCTTGAGGTAGTCGCCCAGCCTAGCCGTCAGGGACTCAAACTGCGATGGCACAGCATGCCCTCCAGCATCCGCCGCGGGCGACTTGGAAGCCACCCTTGACGCGCTGAACGGCTCAATGTTGTTCGCCTCCGCCCCGATCAGATAGGGCGGCATCGCATTCTGCACAAGCAGCGCAACAGCTGGCTCCAAGCCCCTACACCCTTTCCAATCCTTAATCAGCGCCCCAGCGCGGTAGTGCTCGACGAGGTGATCATTCCGGTCCGCCCATAGCGCGAACGTCTCGCCGCAAAAGCCGCACCGGGACTTCAACCTCGTGATCTTGGCCCTCCACCCGCCCATCGACGGCAACACGTCGTCCACGCCGTGCGCGAGGCGCAGGTGCTGCCGGAGGTGGTCTTTACGATAGAACGATCGCGCCGCGAGCGGTTTGGCCGCGCACTCGCGGTACTTGTGCCTCTCCAGATGCTGCTCCGAGGGATCCGCCTCGTCGCAGAGGACGCAGCGCGCGACGGCCTCGGCGGGGTCGGAGTACCGCGGCCCAGAGGGGAGGCATGTCCACTTCTCGAGGACGAGGTGCAGCGTGCCCTCGTGCCGCGTCCAGTCGTACCGCGACTTGAAGGTGTCGGTGCAGAAGGTGCACTGGTAGATGCGCTTGGCGCCGTCGGTGGGGGGTGCGGCGAGCGGGTTGCGGTACTTTTGGTTCTTTCGCCGTCTGCGGCGGCGGCCTTCTTGGGTGCGGATGTTGAAGAGCGAGTCGGAGGCGTATGAGTGCGCGGAGGAGTTGCTGGAGTTGCTTTGGTCGGAGGATCCGAGGGAGCTGATGGAGTCGGTGCTGAGTGCGGTCTGGCCCTGGCTCCAGCTCGCCGGCTCGGTCCAGTCGATAGAGGAACTTATGCCGGGGAGACTCTGTGATGTGCCGATGGCTTCTGCGATGGCGTCCAGCGATACCGGCTCTTCCTCAGGCGGCGAGTTCCTCCAACGGTCCAAGGGGTTCATGGCATCCCATCCTGGGTTCTGGACTGTCGCCGGCTCTGTGCTCGGCAGCAGCTCCGGAACCGATAATTCTGTAGGGACTGCCGACTTCTTCACGCCCCCTCGACGGCGGGCATTGACAAACCAATATGATATCTGCCGGATGTTTAGCCCGGAAAGGCTTTTCAGCTCCTCCTTTTCCTGGTCCGAGGGGTACGGATACGCCTCATGGGCCGCGAACCAGTCCTTGAGCACTTTTGTCGAACTTCGCGCATGTCTATTAGTTCCCCTTCTTGTCTTCCCTGTGCCCCCATTTCCCATTGGGATTGTTGTTGGAAGGCTTCTGGGTTCCATTGAGCGTCCAAGTGTAATGGCTGAAGATTGTGTGATAAGGGTGTGTTGATATGAAGAGAAGCTAGCCCGGTTTAATTAAGTTAATTGCCCGGGAGCATCACGCATGGCAGGGCCCACCACATCGTGCGGGGGACTACCGGCTGCTAAAAGCCCCAATCCATGCCGACGTGTACGACGCCGTCGTGCAGAAAACTCACTCCATCAAGACGGTCGCAAAAGGATACAGGGCTGATAGCCCAATTGAGTCGATAAGCTCAATTGTGTCCTGGATTGCGTCTTGCTTTTTCAGATCAGGTTAATATCAATAGAGCACACGGGGGGGCTCACTTCATCACTACTTAACCAGGGAGCACATTCTCCGGTTACTAGTTATGTGAACACTGACGAAAACCATAGAAAACGAATCGCACTATGGTATCAACATCTATCTAATCTTATATATATATGTTCATTCTCTTCTTATTCCGAGTATAGGCTCGTACACGGTTCTGAGTCTGATTGTCCAATCGTTCATCATAGGGGCCTTGACAAGTTCCAATGGCGACTGCAGTATCACATTGGCTGCGGAATACCACCTTTCTCTAATGACCTTGCTTTATTTAGCGCTATGATGCATTATTCGACGGGGGTATTGTCGTTGTGAATGATGTCCTACTGCCGCCGGAATGACGAGGTATCAAGTTGGCGTGCCCAGCTTCTCCGATCTTAGCAACCTTGACTGGTCTATCACCAACTTTTTTTAATGATCAAATTTCCCAGCCTTAATGATGGACGGCTGACTGATTTTGCTCCGTACTGGTATTTGCTGATGACTGTTCCTGGCGTTATGTAGGATATCCCAACGTCATTCAACAGGCGAGAATATTTGAATTGTCCGCAGATAATTCCCAATCTCGTCGCGTCTGCGCAGTACAATAATCTCAAGGTATCAGGGAAGCTCTGTAGAGACCGGTGGGAGACATATTAGTGCCAGCCCTCTGTGGTCTATTCGGTTAGCCCGTAACCCGTTCCGTCGCTGGAGGTATGAAATACCTAGCCCACGTACATCTCCAAGTTTTTCACGTACACGAGCAAGCCCTCGCCATGTTTTGTTGGATACCTAGTGTCCTTGATTTCATAACAGGAATCACCCCACATACTTCTTGCAATCATGAACGGGGAACCATGAGTTCGCGACTAACTTGACGCCGTTGCCATTGACGAACGCCTCGCGGGCCGTTTGCGGTCACGAAGTTCTAATGACCCGCGACACCTTCCCACAGACTCAGCACTCGATGGTGGACAATTCACAAAATCCGTCAGATAGCTGGTTTCAAAATCTCAGTGAGATGTCACTCATAGGCGAAAATGTCAAGGCCAAGGTCGATGTGCTGGTAACTTCCATTCCTACTTCAATCGACCTCTCGACGCCGAGAAAATTTATTTTCCCCGGTGCAAAGGTTTTCACGTACACCTCAGCGGTTTTTTCCAATAACCAAGACCTGATTTGTGGGATAACGTACACAGACCCAGCGTCGGCCTCCGGAACACCGCCCCTTACACCACCACCATCGGCTGGTCTGGCGTACAAAGCCTCTTCAGAGAGCCCTCGTTTCTCAACGATGCAGACACGCGATCCCGATTTTCCTTTTGAGAAGAACCTCATCTTGGATGATCAGATCCCTGAGTCCAGCTCTGAAGCGCAACCACCTGGGACACAACAGGCAGCTTCCACGCCGAACGGCCAAATCATTGCAACATCTGACATGATTCAAAACTACATTTGTGGAGAGGTTGTATCGCCAGTCAGCAAATTCGAAGCTCTTCAGACCTCTGACGGTCATTCAATGCTCTTTGGGCTTGACACTGGAAGCATCTTCCATGTTATCCTTGAGAAAAGCGGTGCGAACACGACAGGGTGGGAGATGGTAGACCTTTCGTCTTCTCTTCTTGCTACAGTCTCTGTGACCACGTCCGCAGCACCACCGACGGCCAGTAATTTCGATGTTCGCCAGAGCGCCGTGGATGGGACGATAAGTATGGCTCTGGCTGTATCTGCCGATGGAGCCGACAGGCTTTTCTTGTCTCTTGGAAATTCGAACTCCGATACCTCTTGGACGGCAAAACCAGTATGGGCCCCAGTACCCTTCAACGCACCGAGCACCAGTGACACGCAGACCAGCATCTCCATAGTTGGTGTCTTATTTGCAGAGACGGAAGATAGTCAGCAATACGTCATTGTCGACGTCGACCGTTCGTCAACAACTGCCGTCAAAGATATTGCCCGATACAATATTGTTCTTAAGGATGGCTTAGGTACTTGGACGCTTCAGGACATGCCAGTCGACATTGAAGATGGCAGCTATCAGAGCTGTATCGGCAGAGTGGCTCAAGGACTCGTGGACGGGATTTATACTTCAGGAACCGCTGGTGGATCGGCCCAGCTGGTCTACGTCCCAATCACCAATATTTTTGGCGCAGGCCCTCCACTGCCCAGACGCCTTGGTCTCCCAGGCAATGTTCAGGCATCCGCAATTGCCACTGCGCGTAACGACGACTTGAGTACAGACTTGTACGCGGTCAGCGGGTCTACTCTGTATCGATTTCCTGCCGATGGCCAAGCGGATGGGGCAGTAGGAGCAGTCTTGATGGTCAACGCTCTCTTGCAGGACACTTCACAATTGTCGGCCATGTCGCACGATGGCGTCACAACCATCTGGGGCAAGAACTCCAGTGACCAGGTCTACTATGTCTCCTGCCAAAACGACGAGCTCGCTGCTCAAGGGGCATGGAGCTTTCCTGTTCCCATCTTAACGAGCGTCGAAGTCATGTCTCCTTTCTTGAATCGAGACGACGGCGGGAACACAATTTTTGCTTCGGGGGGCAACAAGTTACACAGGCTGACACAGGCAACCAACTCCGATGCCAAACTATGGCGCGCCGACGAAATCAAGCTCGATGCCATACCCAACACTCCACCGCTCTCCTTCAACTCCTATACGACAACCATACGGGCGGTTGACGCTCAAGATTCGCCGGTCAGCGGTGCAGAGCTTTCCATTACTGCCGTGTCGCGTGCTCCCGTATATGTCAATGGAATATATTACGTTTTGGGTCCCAACCCTACAGCAATCACCACAGACCCAACTGGAACTCTTACTGTGGTCGAGACTGCCGACAACAGTATAAATTGTACGATACTCACAATAACCTGCAACGAAGTGTCGAGCACGACCACCACCATAAACCCCATGGATAAGTCTTTTCAAACCATCAGCTCTTTGAACTCCGAAACGGCTCTACGCACGGCATCTGTACCGACGAACGTGGTCGCAGGCGGTACTCAGGGCACCTCTACCTCAATTCCGCTTGCACCCACGACTGCGTCCTCAAACAATGTTCAGGCTGTGGCGCAGAGCCTTGGCCATCTGAGCACAGTTTACAATAGCGTGGTTTCCACCCAGGCTGCAACGACTGCCTCCGTACCGACACCGCCCGTGAACGGACGTGTGGCCGTCACGGCATCGAAGAACACTCATTCTGGCGTTATGTCGGTCGCTGGAAGCTCCGTGCATGCGGTCTCTCAGGCTCCGGTCGAGTTGTTTCCCCTCTTTGGTGACATAGGAGATGCTATACCTATCGCCTTGGGTGACCTCTTCCGCTGGCTGGGCTCAGGGGTCCAAAGCCTCGTCCGGATCGTGGAAGATGCGGCCAGTAGTGTGTGGTATTTCTTGGCCAACATCGGGGGGGCAGATTTATCAGGGCATCCTGAGCACTGTCAACGCGGTTGTCAACGCCATCGAATGGGTTTTCAACGCCGTCGAGACGGGCATTGCAGACATCATCAAATTCATCGAGTTTCTCTTTGACTGGGATGATATAAAGCGCACCAAAGATGTGCTTTGTAATCTTACCAGGCAGGGAATGCAAAACCAAGTCGATGGCATTCAAGCTGTGAAGGCGTCTTTTGACGCAGACATTGCCTCCTTGGAACAAATAATCAATCAGTGGGCGGGCGTCACTGACTGGTCAACTTCTATTGGTCAAGTCGCAACTCAACCTGCTTCTTCAAGCGCGACAAATACTGCAGCATCAGGGCAGACGTCTGGATCGCAGATTTTTTTCAGCCACTACAAAAGCCAGGCTGCTAACCTGACGGAATTGGAACCGCAGTCGCCTACAGGCGTGTCTGAACAGCTTTTCGACGACCTCCTGAATGCTCTGAAGCAAGAGGGGCAAGTTGTTTCAGCCGTAGGTTCCCAGCTCGAATCACTAGCCAGCGATTTTCGGTCCATGACAGTTGGGCAAATCTTGAACAAGCTCATTGCCATTTTGGTTGATGGGGTGATTTCTAGTTGCCAAGTTGTTGCAGATGCACTCATCAATATCTTCATCGACCTGGCACAGGAGGCCATCGGCGTCTTGGACATCAAGATTCACATCCCCGTGATTTCCGACATCCTCAACAGTATCGGCATTCCAGATATCTCCTATCTTGACCTCTTTTGCTGGATCCCAGCATTGGCCTACACGGTTGTCTACAATATCGCCAACGACACGCCACCGTTTCCCGACAACGCTGATATTCAAGCCATCATCGCTGCTGGTAGCTGGAGCACTATACAATTGCTTTCTGGTCAGCAACCGTCATCGCCATCATTGTTCGACCATGAACAAGCTCAGGAAAGCGCATCTCCAAAAGCACTCGGAAATGCGTTTGGGGGATTCCACGGTCAACAAATCTCTCCAAGCATAGAAAAAGCAGGATTTTCCGGTATTGATATTTCCGTGTCAAAAGACACAGCAAAAGCTATCTACATCGCTGGACATGGTATTTCAGGTATCATAAACGAACTCGGCTTCTTCATTGATATCTTCGAAGCAGATAATCCAGAAGGGAACGCATATACGATACCCTCGGTGTTGCTGGGCGTCATCTCCGGCCTCTCCACCTTCTCTGGCGACTATTTCTACCCCCGGGACCCACTCCAGTCATATGATCTCGTGTGCCTTTCTCGTCTTGCAACCGGTGTCCGGTTTGGAACCAAGGGGATTGTCGCCGTTTTTTACAGAGGTAAAATCCCAACTAAGCTTGGGGATACCCGTACCACATTGGCTGCTGCCGACGCCTTCTGTGCGATATTGTCTTTCGCAGCATCGGTGGGTCACTTCGTTGAGCTTGCTCAGGCAGACGCAGATGCAGATAGGACTGCAGCTATCATAGACGAGATGTCGTATCTCGGGTCTTACGTGGCAAGGGTGGCTTATTATGAAGCGGTACGCACGAACGATCCAGAAGAAAAGGCGCCCGCTTTGCTTGTGATGGGTCTGGCGGAGATCCTTGCAGGTGGGCTGCAATCTGCTCTGACGATTGTGCCGATATAGGCCTTGGTCTCTCAGCTGGGCACTGCAATTCCACTTCTTATACCATCTTCGATAGATATGCTCTTTGAATTCTATCATGGAAACATTCTTTACATCTGCCTAGGCCCTACCTTTCCCGGTGCTTGTGAGTTTAGACGCTGCGAATGACAGCCTCAGAAGCAAACACATCGTAACATACGGCTTGGAAGCTTCCAAGGTTCGGGCCGCGGTGCATGCCATGAACTAAATGTGAACGAAGAATGTAGAAAGACCTTTACGCCGTCAAAAGCGCCAAGGCAACTGCTCTTGAGAGTGAACTACGAAACAGTCCATGGTCGATTCCTTTCAATCAGATCTGCGCCTCCTTCTGTCCCTCCGTTTCTCTTCTCTGACAGCTGGGCTCCTGGGCTACACAGACACAATAGTTGCCGAGGCCCAAGTGAACCACCGAGTGTTAGTCGATGTAACCTTCCGACAAGGCTCGCACGATAGCCATGGTGTGAGTTCGTCGATGATAAAAAGTATGATAATAAGCCTGAAGACCTAGCGAAGGGGAAGAGAATAGAGAGTAGAAAGATCAGCTGACACGCCACACACACATTGCTTCCGCCTATCTCGCCCATAACAGGGGTTTGACAGGTACCAAAATGGTTATTCGTCGACATAAGCTGGCCCTCGTGAAGATGGAAAAGTGATCTACTTGGGATAATGGGCAGGGAACACTGCGGGTGCTTGGCATTGCAGCTCAGAAGCAAAATAAAACGACAGAACATGGAAACAACGAAGATAACGATGCATTAAGGGAGGCAGGCAAAATGACGATGACTTCAACAGGTGTTACGGTGGCAATGCCAATAACCTAATTCTTCAAAGCTATGTCTAGCCGTCTTCCTCAATAAGACCCAGCTTCTAGAGAATCACGACTCGAAAGGACGACACATGAACGCTTGAAGTCTTTTTTTTTTTTTTTTTTGAAAGCCAATTTGAGCCACCGTAACACCAAACAGGCTTATCTGGAACACACATATCACAGCCGACCAATGGTCTTATCATGTTTGTCAAATCAGGCGACCGCCGCCGCCCTCGATTCACATTGCCTTATCAGAGCGCCAGAGATATCCTGTTGCGCGCGCTCCAAAAACTCGAATACCCCTACTGGGCAGGGCTCGTGTACAATCTGTACCTAGATCCTTCCTGTAATCCATCAAGAAGAGGACCCTCGCACATGCAATGCAGCGCAACTCGTCCGCAGCCTTTTCCCCTCTCGCTCGGCGCCGCTCCGCCCTACGGAGCCGCCCGGCCGTCGACCGATCCTCAGTCGCCCCTCTCTGTTGGTCTCGAATGCATCAAACCCCACTGTCTACCCCACAGACGCCGTCTGGACTCTGGGAATGCAACCATGCACCTCTTCATGCTGTTCTAGACTCTCTCAAACACCGCGTATTTTTTCGCCCATATCGAAACACCCAAAATCTCAATGCTGACCAAAATGTATCTCCTTGCAATGAAAGACTGTGCTGAAACGCCGTTGATAACGCGCTGTGTTTGTCGCAAAAGCACTCGATACCCTTCTCTTCCATCTGACCATACTGTGTCGCTAAGCCAATCCTCCACCGTATGATTTGTATTTCCATCATTTACCGTCTAGATTGCCCAACTGCCTCGTCTCTCACGCACACCCCAAGCGAGAGGATCGAGGCTGTCCAAGTCGGGATGTTGTCGTGCCCACTCAAAGATGTACGCCTTCAGCGCCTTCCATCGGGGGCACCTCTTCTCCTCTGCCATCTCGGCCTCAGCTGGCTCCATCAAGTGGCCGGATGCCATCTGCTTGGCATCTTCCATCTCCAGCTCATCAACGCTCATGTGGGAAATCTTGGCAAGCTCCTCGTCGAAAGACCGGGCCATGGCTGGATATCCAAGAGACAAGTAGTTGTAAACCTGCGTAATGAAAGTATCGTCAAACTCGGAAGCAATTTTCTCCTCGAGAGCCTTCTCGCGCTTCAGACGTTCTTCCAAGCCATGAAGCATGTGAAGACCCTTAAAATCACCCGACCGAACGCGGTGTTCAGCGGTACTTGGGGTGAGGGTGGCGGATGCATAGTGGGAACCGGGCTCGTCAGTGAGAGAGCTCTTGCCAAAAGCTGCAGCGAATGGATCCCCCGGAGTGGAGGGAGGCAGCGGTGTATGCAGCATTCTGGGTCCCTGAAGAGATGCAGGCACTATGGCCTGATCGCTCTCGCTCTTTCGGAAGCAGTAGCCCCTCCACAATCCGGCTTCTCCCGTGGTATCCCTGTTTCTCTCTTCGGCGGTAGGGAGCTCTGAGAAGGGGTGATCCGGCTCGAGCTTCGTTTGCTTCGGTGAGGGGCACTTGCGGAAGACAATGTCCTTGCCCAACATTGGCGGCGACGCGGCCTTGCGCATCCTCCTAAACTCGCTAGTTTCGGCGGGCAACCCAAAGTTTCCAAAGGGTCTGCCGAATCCGCCGCCGCCAGCGTTGCGGAAACCAGTCTCGGGGACGACCTGGGCAGGTTTGGCAATGGGCACTGCAGCAGGTTGCGTGGCCGGAGTGGAAGGGACATATGGCATTCCAGTCTCGCCAATGGGCTTGGTCACTGGTTCAGGCGGGGGAAGCGCTGGCTGCGCCGTATCTTTGGCTGAGACAGGATCGGAGGTTATCAGTGGCATCAAGACCTCGCCAATTGGACCCTTGGAGCCAGCATCGGCGGTCTGATTCCTGGTGTTGGTCAACCACAGAGGATCAGGGGGGCTGTCAAGCTCCATCCTGTCAATGGCCGAGTCATCCTCGTCCTCCTCGTCAAAGACGGGGACATGCTCGCCCCTTTCCACTGCCAGCTTCTCTGCATGCTCCTGCATATGCTTATGCCAGTAGCCCAAGTCTGAAGATTTCCGCCGGGGTGCATTGGCGTGACGGGCACGGGTTTTGGAGGCAGTCCCCGTTGGCTGGGGCGAGATGCTCTCGGGAGTGCTGTCGTCCCCGGAGCTCTCTCTGAAGTAGAAGTGGGCAGCGCCACCCTCACGAGGGCGACTGTTGGGGAAAGCAGCGAGAGCAGCCTCCTGCATCTGTCTCTCGGCCTCCATGGCGGCCCACTCCAACATGTAGGTGCCGGCATTCTCGTCTTCTGACTCTCGCCTTGCGCCCTTGGGCTGTCGCTGAATGATTTGGGAGGCAGGGGAAGAGGTACCGTCGGCGATCTTCTTTCGTGACTTGGTGCGCTGGAGGTAGATGTGGTTCGTGTAGGGAGTGATGTCGGTCTTGTCGGTCGGTCGAGTGGCAGGGCCAGTGTCTCCCACTCTTCGGGCTCGTCTCGAGGTCTCGATCAGCTGGGGAGCGAAGCGGCGCTTCGGCTTCTGCTGGTCGTCATGGTGCTGAGGCGGAGGCTGGCGAAGCTGCTGCTCGAATGGATTCGGTGACGGAGTTCGCGGGGTGTGTTCGGGAGTGGGTTCTGGTGCTGGACCAGGCTGATATTGTTGTTGCTGCTGTCCCTGCTGCTGCTGGGAGCTCTTTCGAACGGACTCGAAAGTGGTTTCGATTGGGACGGGAGCAAACCGCCTCCGCGGCTCGGTGGACTGAGCCATGGCGGAGGACGGCGAAAGGTACGGTGTTGTAGTGGTGGTTGTTCGCTGAGGGCGAAGGTGGGATCCGAACGAAAACGAAGGGATCGGGAACGGGTGGGAGGGTTGAAGTCAGACGGACGGCGCTGAGTTTGCAGGGCTGGAGAACAGGACCCTTTGTAGTGCAAGGAGGGGCAGTGATGGGACGAAGATGACGCTCGTCCTTCCGGCGGGAGTTTATGTGGTGTGTACGTGCGTGTTGGGGTGGTCGTGTGAGAGAGGTTGGTCCGTGGTTGGGGGCTGTTGGTGCCGGCGATGCTGTCGCTGCCCGTGCAGATGCGCAGTTGGAGAGAGGAGGAAGAAGGTAAGGTAAGGCAAGGCAAGGCGGAGGACGGATCGTGAGTATTTGTCGAAGAGTCAGACAGACGAGGTAGGGGAGGTACTTGTTGCGACTATGGAGCAGCTTCAGCAGAGAAAGTCGAGGCGCGGAAAGAATGGAATGGATGCTAGTAAGGGGTGAGCGGTCACAAGGCGCCTGGAAGCAGCAAGCGATTGACGGCACAGCAATGCAGTGAGTAACAGCAACTGGAGCAGCAGCAGCAGCAAGCAGCAGCAGCGAGAACGGGAGCGGCAAGTGCAGGTGCAGGGAAGAGGGGGCGATGGGAGTGTGCGGTCGTAATAATAACACAGTGGGCGCATTGTCCGCGGTACGTATCCGAGTACTTGGGTTTTCTCTCTCTCTCTCTCTCAATAAATCAGTAAAAGTAGAGCTACCTAGGCCAGGGCTACCTTATGTGGCACTGTTGGCGCCCGGGGTTAAGTGCGCCATGTACGGATACGTTCCAGGCCAGGTCCTTTTTTATTTTTTCGCAGTCTTCCAGAACAACACACACACCGGTGACCGCACTTCAGACTGAGATGGAAATCCAAGGGCACGCAGCACAGCGGGCATGCGAGGGTGTAGTGGGGTTCGCCCGGGCTGGCCAAGGTACGCGGCTTGTCTAGGAAAGGTAGGTACGGGAGAAGGTACTTTTCCCAGCAAGAACACACGCACTGAAGTGAGCGAGTGGGATGACGCCCAGGTATCCCGACGGTGTGCCTCTTCATAAACACTGTGCCGAAGGAGGGTGGCCGCGGGGCAGGAACGATGCAGTGGAATGGATGATGCCATTGGGGTCCCATTGGGTGAGGAAGGAACCCCCCCCCCAAGATGCACCTGTCCGCCTTCCCATTGTTACTCGACATGAGCGTTATCATCCAGTCATTTTGTCTCAGAGACAGCCATCGACAGGTCCAGGTCGAAGCAATGGATTAAAAAAAAAATTACGCTGGTAATCACTCTGAACAAGCACACATTCAGCACGGCCAGACCTCTTCGTCACCTCAACCGCTGCCCCGATGTCGCACAACACCCGCCGCCCCGCCCTCTCCTCTCCTCTCCGCCTCTGTCAGTCAGTGTCAATCTCTCGGCTGTCTCTGTCAGAAAGAAGGACCAACCGAGCACCGAGCAGCTGCCCCCAAAACACAGTCGCATTTTCAGAGGGTCACACCTTGCAGGTACATGGCCGCTCCCGCTCCCACAAACTCCGATTGACCAATTCCACGTCCATGATCTCCCAAATTCCCACTCCATCTCCTCCACTGCTTGTACCTCGACCGTCTCGGCGGCTCAACATGCACAACGCCGACACGGCCCTTCCTCGTCTCTTCTCCTCCTCCTTCTCTCTGTCTCTCTCCAGACGCTCCAGTCTATCTCCAGTCAACCCAGCTAACCCATTCACTTTCTCCAGTCCCTCCGTTCCAGTTTTGCAACCCAAATCCAGTCTTTGTTTCATTCGAGCCCGCCTTTTCTCGTACTATTCTGAGCCTCCCGGGGACAAGCTGGTACTCCAAAAATACCACCGTTGCAGCCGTGGGTACCGGAACCCTTCCCACAGGTCAGATGCCCATCGCGGATATGAGCAGGGCAGGGCCAGGGCACTGCGCAGACCAAATTCAGAAGAGCTCCTCCTCTTCCTCCTTTTCCTCCTCAAGAGGCCAGGGCCAAGGGCAGCCCAACTACGGAGCATGTCAAATTGCACATGGCCTTCTGTCTCCAGCTACACTGCTTCGACGCTGCCCAAAATGCCAATAATCTCGCCCTCCCCGTCCAACCCATGTGCCTTCTTTCCGATGCCACAATCTGCCATTTGACATCATCGCCTCAACCGACTTTCTTGGTCCCGCCCAAGGGTGCAACACCCAGGGCCAGATGCCCCGACACGGAACCAGACCTCAGCGATCATGCATCCTACCCTTGTCTGGGCCCGGCTGGTACCTCCGCCGTACCCTCCGTACCTGACTGCACTACCCGCCCGCGCATAGTGTACCGTACGGATACACGTTCCAGGCAAGCCGACCCGTGTTGGCGCTGCGCTCTTAGTGTTCAGCACACCAGACGAGACCGGCACCAGATCACTCCAGCCGACGTCCATGAGGAATGCTTGGCCTGCGTTGAGAAAGAAAGAGAACACCACCGACGACAGCAGACGTTGCTAAGTAGCGCCTGCCGTCGCCTCTGTCTCACGGCCTCGACCTCAACGGACTGGAGCTTGAATCTCGACCACCGCTACTGCTCACGTTATGCATGGAGATGGAGAGAAGAGGAGCCTCTAGAGACAACAACCTGCCAGCACCTGACGGAAATGGCGTCTGTTCGCCCCGGAAGCGTCTCCATATCATGCCGGCCGCACCACGTCCCTCCCCAGCGGTGCCTTTGACCACCCTGCAGTCCGCTAATGCCTCTGCCACCCGAACTCTGCTGGCCAACCTTCCACCCCAACCGATGGATTCATGAGCTCTGTCACAAGGCATATCAGCAGAGGGCCAGAGGCCAGCTGCCTCTTCCATCGACTTTGCCTGACTCTCTTCACCGATGAACCACCCCTGCCTCGACGCTAAAGTCCCCGGACTGCCAACTGACATGCTGCCCGGATTCCCGCCGTGGCCGCCAAAACTTCCTCTCCAGGCGCCCAGGCCAGAAGGCCGCTTGTCCGTCCCCAGATTGCTGGACTTTTCGGAAATGTTGCTTCCCCAGAAATCAGCATTCTTGGGTCGTAATTTCTGTCGAATTTCAGGAAACCGTATCGCTAAGATGAGCAGCGAGGCTTCGGTGTGGCTGTGCTGCTACTTACGAGTCAAGCCCCGAAATTGTTTTACGAGCCCCGGCCGACAAAACTTGAATTGATCTCTTTCAGCAGTTCCAACTTCCAAGGCCAACAACGCAGCAAACCCGGGCCAGCTTGCGTTCGTTCTTGCTTTGGACACTTCCGCCCGGGGCAGTCTCCCGGAGTGCTTCGTTCGTTCATGCGCCGCGCTACCTGACGCTACTTGACACCTCAACTGACGCCATGTTTTCTTGGGCATTGCAAAGATCGGACGACTGCCGCTTTGGGATCAGTCAGTTGAGCCAACTGGGAAATGCGTCGAAACCGTTCATTGACTGGACGGGTCGCCCCAAATCCCCAGCCTTGCCAACACATCAAGCAAAGTCGAGAAACATTCCACATTCCACACAAGCAAGACCACTCCGTCGCTTGAGAAGTTGACCGCGGGAGCCGGGCAACGGCGATATCCCCCGCGTCACATCACGTTCCTGCTGTCCGTTTCCCGCACGGCGCACGGGGGTCATCCAGTCACCTCCCTTGCTCGGCCGGTACGGTATTGATACGCCACACCAGGATCAATCACCAAAAAGTGCGCCATTGTCAGATCCCAAATCAAGCTCACCGACGATCACCGACCCCCGTCGAACCCCCACATCATTGACGCCCTTTACTTCGGCGTCTTATCATTCAAGTGCGGCACGCCACACTTTGCCCAAAGCTTGACGGCCGTCGAAAGACATGTCCCTTGCTTCTATAGCGAGTTTACTTTAGAGAGAAGTGAGACTTCCAGACGGCGCTTCAGCTCACCGATACCGGCATCAAACCACCGTTCTGTGCCGCCCTAAAACACGTTTGATTGAACATGACTCCGACACTACCAAACAACGCATTCAAGCTCCAGCTGCCTCTGCATATGCCCCGTCGCCCCGTCGTTCTGCAGGAAGCCATGAGCCGGGGAACTGCTTAAGCTTCGAACTCACTTCCAGCTTAACTTAGCCAAGCAGCAAACCCCGCCCAGCTCGGTCGGTGAGACTTCACGACAACCTCACCGTCTCCAGCCTCTGTCAGCTTCCTTGGTCTTTGCGTCCGAGCACCCACGACAGCACAACCGCACACGTGCCCAGTTTCTGCTTTTTTCTGCCACGCGCGCTCCCTGCGATGCTACCCCTCGTCTGCAAGCCACCTGCAGCGCGAGCAGTTCTCGTGATAATCAGTAACTACGGGCCATTGTCATTGGTCGGTGAATGATTGACCTGCGGCCGCTAAACCGCCCTAGATGCATCTGACACACACCGCTCAGCGGGACTTTTTGTTGAGACCACTTAGAACTGGTTTTCACCGGGCGGGGTGGTGCTGCCAGCCGTCTCGGTGCCTGTCTCGCCCTCGAATCACTTGCCGGGAACTGCTCGCACCGTCCGGGGCCAACCGTCCCTGCCTGGGCCCGAAAGTCCTGAAATGGTGCCGCGAGAAGACAGCGGGATGCCCTGCCGGGCACACCCGCGGCCGGCCGGCGAAGCAGGGATGAGCGACCCTTCCCCGCGTTTCTAGCTCCACTTTCGTCCGCTCCTCACCGGGCTCAGTCGGCTTCAATCGTTTATCCGACGGACCCCTCGCCCGTCGCTTTACACAGTCGCAGGGTGGCGCCGTTGATCTTAGCCCCAGATCTGGTTGCTGGTGAACCTCTTGTTTTGGAGACCCGTTCGAAAGACAACTAGACGCGGCGGCAATCGCGGACACTGTGCCGCTGATCTCGTATTTGGAACCATTCGCCTCAGGACCCTTTGACCATCTCTCAAAACAAAGAGATCTCCTGTCCGGTTTCCACGGGCGAGGTACACGTAAGTGGCGTTGCAAATCCAGACGACATGAAGACTCTGA